TAGCCTCAATTTCATGCTTGACTTCCGGTGTCCTTTAAAAACACGCCTATATCTCGAAAGCGACCCCACAATTTGACTTTACTACCTACCTAGCCTTATTCAGCAGGGTTCATTCTATCAAGATCCACTAACAAACCTTTTCTGTGGTGAGAAGTAAACGAACTCAAAAAATAGAGCCTTTTTGAAAACTGGCTCCTCGACTATATGTCATTAGCTCCCAGCTGGACAGCCAAAATTCTGACAAATGAAGCTTGCCAATTGAAAACAATCTTGCCTTCACTTTGCATAACAAAGGTAGAAAGGAAATTTTTTTAAGCAAATATACAATGCTATATAACCAAAGCAAGATATGACAAAACATTTAGAAATTGAAAACTGATATCAAAAAAATATTCTCTGTGATATTGGTAACTCTAATGAGAAACTAAGTGAATCATTTCACTAGGGAAAAAGCATATTGAGCTCTTAGTAAATAGAGGATTCTGCAAGCCATTAGTAGAATGTCTTCTAAACCATCAGCATAAATAATTGAATAACAACAAAAGACAAAAGGGAAAGTAATATAATATATGACACATGCAATTTACTGGAAGGTGTTCTTGACACCATCAATTGGTGAAGAAAAAAAATCTAATGAAATAATCACTATTAAAATAACATTATATTCAAGCTTCCATAATATAGTTATAGTGAAATAATCCATTGGCTTATGAAACTTATTTAGACCTTGTTTAATGCAACTCAGGCATTATCTTATTACTTATAAAATAGCATTATAATAAAAACACACATTTCTCAGAATGCTAATCACATTTAAGTACTAATAGAAGACTGACATTAACTAAAGGCTTTATCTGAGATTGGGAGTGTCCATAGCAACTTTAGGTATAATAGAGAAATCCTTAGGCTAACAGAATATTTTGGGTTGATACTTTTGAGTGAGTACTAATTGAAAATTGAACCACACATATTTTTAGACATGACTTCTGTACCATTTTAAGACTTACAAATGAATGATGTATTTTAGACTCTGTCAAATACATTGTCCTCCAGAAGAAGAAGTAAAGAAATAAATTCTAAACAGCGACATTCTTACTGACTTTTGTCTATTTTAATAGACACTTTATAAAGGGAACAATACCTTGTTACAACATTATTTTGTTGATGTCTAAAATAGTCACTAAATAACAAATTTCCATAATATTTGATCATTATATCCATGGAACATTTTGTAATAAAAGAAAACGGATTCTATAAGTTAAGTTGCCTAATCATTTTTGTTAAAGGTAAAAGGGTACATGTACTGAGATTTTATTTTTTTGGTTTCTGATTCCTAACTCTGATACCACATTTTCTTAGAATTTGATCCCTCATTGAACCTGATATACATGCAACCCTGAAACGGTAAGGCTTTTTGATTGCTTCCCTATTGCTCGTTTAAATTTTGTTTCCTGAAAGGTTATCTATTGTTTCTCCATTGTTATCCCAGCCAATCATGAGATTCTTTACAACCATGTAGTGCAGACAGTCACTGCTGACTCTCAGGAAACACAACATAAATTACGAATCATGAGAGTATACATCACTTCACAACTAGTTTAGGATTTTGACAACATTTCAAAAACATGATACAGATGATTACGATGTTATTTTGTATAAAAATGATTATCAGTGCATTAAAACACATTTTTCTGTTTTACCAGATTTTTTTCCTCAAAATACTTACCAGCCCAAAATGTTGAAAATCAAATAGCTGAGTACACCAATAAGCTTATCTGTTAAAGCTGATAAATACTCTATATTCTCTATGTTAAGACCCAGGCATGAGTTCTAAGATATTGAATCCATCAGTATTTAATGCATCCAACAAAAATGACACTGTTTGTTGACCTACAAGATTTCATTCTGGCCTGATTAATAAAAACATTATAGGAGAGCTAGTAGCAGTAGATTCTAAGTTATACTTACACAAATCATGATAACTGAACTATAATTACATAATTCATCATTCACTTCTGTGTCACCACTGTTTGAATTGCTAAAATCTTGTTATATTTCTTTCTCATGATTATTCTTCTCAAAGTGCATTACTTATGCTAACGTATAGCATCAAAATCTTAGTAATAAGTAGATTAATTTAAAATGAAATTCAACAAATTTATGTTTCGGAGGACAGTTAGGTTTTAATTCAGTGAAAGTATATTTATTCAATGTAAACCATTCCTCCATTTTCAATATTAACTGCATGTAAACCATACAATTTTTTTATAAAATATACTTTTTGATCAAATTTTGTGAACAAAGTCTTTTGAATTTAATCAATAAAACATCTGGTCTTACTTTTAACTTCAAACATTTCTGGATGAATAGAGCCATATTTTACCCATTACTCTAACAGAGAAATAATTTCATTTGTCTTGGTTATTTCAATTAATAGGACTTAAACATATCACAGGTTTATTCAAAAAAAGAAGTAAAATCAGTGGCTTACCTTTGCCTTTATAGGAAGCTGAGCTCTTGAAAACAGGAGTGTTAAATGTTAATATTGACCAATCTACAAAAGAAAAATAAAATATTCACTCTGCTCACTCAGCTGATCATTGAACTAGAACCTCTTATAATATGAAGTAGGGTGACTGAATTTGAAGTATTTTTTGTCCCCCATTACTATTGGCTATGTTGTCTTAACCCTTTAAAACCATAAAAAGGACTAAGTGCCTAACTTCAAGCTTGGAAATGACCAATTTTACCATGTCAGTATAAAATAAAAAATGACATCTCTTAGTGACAGATGATAGTCATTATTCAATGAGACAGAGAATAGCAATATGAACAAACATTGCTGAGACTGGATCTAACTCATTATGCAAGTGGAAACAATTTACAATACATTCATTAAAAAATGTGGCGATATAATCATAATTTGGACAAGAATATACATCATAAAGAACAATGTGTTTTGTTTGGTGGTTGGATAAAAACAATAGAATTGAAAGAAAACAGTGCACACAATGTGTTAGTATGATACCATGACTACAGTAACTATATTAAAGAATGCCTGGGAATGATAAGGACTATACACCTACAAAAACTAACATATATTACACCTTATTGTAGTTTAAGCTAGTTATTCACATATTACTTTGTACATTAATTATTGTACTTCTGATCAATGCAACAAGAATATCAAAAAGAGCATTCAGCCTGAGTGATCTCCTCATTTGTGTTTAATGTATTCCTCTCCGACTAAAATGCAATCTATAAAGCTCTAGTTTGGTTATGACAAGGTTCTTTTAATATTAGCCTGACACAGTGCAGACACAAGATATATAAATGTACAAATTGAATATAATTCACAATACTTAACACAATGACTTGAAAACAATAAAAATAGTGTGAATATTTAAAAATAACAATTACAATAACATTTTCAGGGGCATTCAGATCAAGATCTATCAACTCACGTCTATTGCTTGTGAGCAGTTCTTAAGCCCTTATCTTTTGTGGGCTACACCTATTTTGTATTGCCACAATGGTTATTGCTGGCCATACAAATCATTTTCATATAGCAAAAAGTAAAGTTGTGAATCAAAGTCGGAGGTGACCAAAATGGTAGGGGTGGTTACTTTAGGGCTGGAGAAAGATATTGAGAGAATTACAGGAAGAATTCAACCCAAACCAATAATTAAAAACTGATGTCCTGTGTCTTAATAAACTATAATATCTCTCCATTACATAATATTTAGTTGACAAAAATCCAATTATAGGTACATGTAATATCAAACTTCTGTTGAGATTGGAAAAGTATAATAAGTAAACCCCAATACAAACTGTTATATTCTTAAATTTATTATAATCCTAATTAAATATCATGGCCCAAATACAAACAAAAGGTTTCAGGAAATTCCTTTAAAATACTTAATATGTATAAAATGATGTTATCATACTTAATTAAAAACGATTCAATGCATTAAATTGTCAAATAATTAATATGTACTAAAGTGATAAAACTGATATTAAGCATTATTTATACTACATCAACCCTCACATTATCAAAATTGTTAACAATGAAATGCATTATTACATTTTTCAAACATGTGCACTGTCAGCAGACAAAGTTATGTTTGCTTGACATAATAGACATTTTAAATGTGAGAATGGTGTGAACTAGCAGTAAACTAGTGTGAATTTTGAATGTGAATTTGGATCACCAATTACTGAGTACTGGTAGTGTGTGGTTGATGATCGACCCTCATTCGATAGGCTTCATTATCAATTTTATGGGTTCAAATCTAGACATTGATGGTAGGAAAAGAAGAGAAATAATCTCCTTGGAATTGCTGCAGATTAGACAAGATAATTACCTTGGCTACTTAAAATGAGAATCTGATGATCCTATTCATGTATAAATACATCATTTCAATAAATAATGAATTTGTGGCCAAACACAGCTTTAACCAAAACAACAGATCTACTAATGATTATCAAGAACAAGTCAGAAATATATTATTATTTGCATACATCTGATAGCTAGCATAATAATTATAGCTGAAAATAAAAGGTGTAATGGAATATAATATGCATACTTTGTAACTGTAATAATTTAAAAGATAACATCATATCATGGAAACACACTGACCACATTTAAAATAATCTTGAAGTCATGAGGAATTACAGTAACTGGCTAAATAATTTGTCATCTTAATTGAGTGCAACATTCCATCCATAGCAATCATCATTATTTTAATGCACAATAAAACTATACATACATAGCATTCATTATTATATTTTCACACACAAAAAAACAAGGAGTTATACAATATATTACATCTCTCTTTTGCTCCTGGGTGAGAAATGTGAAGAGTTGTTCATTCATGCATTGGCAGTTCCCTTCAACTATTCATTTCAATAACAAATTGATTTTATATATCAACATATTATAGACAAAAAAGACAACATTTCTTTCAAGGACAATGAATAATATAATAAGTTAACTAAAAAGCAACTAATAGAATAATAGTATATATCATATAATATCCATGTCCATGGAATACCTAATAATATTTCTCACTTGCAGAAATTTTAGATAATTTTCACTATTTTCAATAACTTAGGCACACAAGGATACAGATTTTGTCTTTTCATGTAAAACGAGATTATATATTATATATAACTTATACATAGTGAAGTTCTGTTAATAAAGACCTTGATTAATTGACTGCTTGTAACATCAAAGGAATACAAATGAATATAATATATGTCAAAGATGAACAGTAACAATAAAGCAATATTAAAAACACTCAGAGCTGAATTTCCTGAGTTGTTCTTTATTTTGTCAAAGACAAAAGAGTGAATTTGAATTATAATAATAACATTCAGCAAGCAGGCCATTCTGCTTTCAACAAATGATAGTGTTATTATTGTCTTCTATCTAATTTTGAAACCAGAGACAAAAAATGAATAGCATTTATTGTCTAAAAAAAGGAATTATGAGCAATATTTCCATCACAAAAAACATATTCAATGGACTGAAATTGATACTTTAATAAAGGGCCATGTAAATATTAAATCAAAGGACTTTTGACAAAAAAGCAAAAACAAAAAACTTGTAATGAAATGATAAAAGTTAAAGAAGTCAAAAATATTTATCTCAAAGGCATGATTTTCTTTTATCTCAAATATTCATGCAGGATCATAGTATTTTTCACCATAAAATTAAAAGTCTTGTCAGCATATATGATATGAGCATGATTTCATGAAAATAAAGTCATTCCAGGCAGTAAAAAGAATTTCCAAGCCAATATAATATTCACTTTGCAATACAAGTGCATATTTTGTTTTGTTGTTTGTTTTTTATTCAACATGCAAATTTGTGAAATGCAATTTAAGAACAAGTTTCAGAAATACTTGAATAATGAAGAGACGTAAAGTAATGGCTTACTACAATTTTGTAAAGTGGGTTTTATAAAAGTGCCTAATGGTGTAATATAAGGACAAAACACTATAAAACATGAGCTATATTTTGGACAATGCAATTTATATAAAATATGTTATATCATTCAAATGTGAATAAACAGGTAAAAAATCACAGGGGAAGAACATTAATGCAATAATAATCATTCAAACTATCACAGAAAGGATGACAGCTTAAAATGAGAAATACAAGATATAATACCATGATATGATATTTCAGCGAAGGATTAAAAAATTCTCATAACAAAATACTTATTAGACATGTTCTGTTTTTTTATTTGGATAGGGAAGTAAAATACCAATCACTTATCTTTTTTTGCCTTAATAATGATGTTATCAAACAATAAGGCTTAATGACATGCAAAATCCTGTTAAAAACTGTTCAAACAAATAGGAATAAAAATGGGCCATTGAAAGGGAAAAATTACTCAAATTTAAATTAGTTTTGTATTGTTTATGAAAGCAATAGTTCAAAACAACACTTGGAACATGGTAAATCTTTTCAATTTGAAGATCTGAAAGGGCTTTTCACTATTTACTACAAGTTAGAAGAAGAGAACACTTCAGGCACATCTGGCCATTTCTTGAAAAACAGTGGGTAAGGCTAACAAATGGTTCATGGTTACTGAGAAGCTAGCCACACAGCCACAAACACCAAAACTCAGTTAAGAAAAGACAACCCAAAAAATCACAAAGTTACACATTAAAGACTAAAAATCTAGCCCCATAAACTCCATCTTTCCATGTCCATAAAAAAACAAATTAAATCTAACATTTTAACAACAAGTTTCAATGAATTTAACATTTCAAAAAGCATCCCTCTTGGAGACTTAAATGTATAAGGTATAGTAAAAGTACTCAACAGCTGCCCGTGAGAGCCAAAATGATGAGTCTTTTTACAAAAATTAATTTGTTCTAATTTTCATCGTGGAATTATAGAACATGGAAGAAATATTTTGCAGTTGAATATAATGTCCATGAAGCTTTCAATAACCCAGTCACTACGAAACGCAACTAAAATCTCGATCCAGAAATGTTATCTTATTACTTGCTTTTTTTCTTCAACCGGAATAAAAATGTTCTAACCCTAACCACAGTCTGATTATTACAATATATGTAAACAAATGCACCAAAAATTTGTTATCTCAGCCTTGTGAGTTTGCGAATTGACAAAATCAGTAGAAATGATATTAAAACTTTTACTATGGAATATAACGAGAAAGATTTCAAGCTCGCACTTCAACAGGAGATCTGTAATAAAGGACCATGTTTCTTGAAACTCAGTTCGTGTAAATTCAACTCCACCATTATATTGTTATCATGTCAATTCTATTGTTCGGAGGATAAATTTGGTGAATTCAAACGTTAAAACTCCGAGCAATAATACTACTAACATCTACCCAAGAATTGAGAATAATAAACAAGCTAAATTATTGACGATAAAATAATGTCATGAGTGAAGTAAAAAGGACAAAAATAAGCAGCAAATTCACGGTAAGTACTCACATTTGGCGTCTCAGCTGTCGCCATCGTTGAGAATACAGCCTCGAATTGATGCCAAACACTGGCGCCCAGTTTCTACAGACGTCACACCGGATGCGCGGCCATTGGGATAATGAATTATTCAACAATTTACCCCCTAAAAATTTACCTAAATTCAAATAGCTAATAGACTACCTCCTGTACACATCCGTGTATGCCATTAATCTTATCATTACTTCCTGAGCCAGATGAATTCTGAGCATCATCTTTTTCTTTTTTTTTTCGTGCGTGATGTTATTACAACCGGGCGTAACCTAGGGCGAGATGTTTGTAATAATTAGAACCCATGCCCTTTTGGCAGGCGAAACAAAATGTCTTCCTTGTTGTGTTTCGGTTCTGCCCAAGTTTTAAACTAAATTGCAATTTTGAAAGCTTCTTTGAACAAGAAAACGAAACAAAGGTAAGTTTTAAACAAAAATATCATATTTATTCATATCTATCGAAAAATCGGATCGCATATGCCTTTGGAAATAGTGTTATTAGCCAAAGTATGCGCATAGAGAGTGAAAGTACCTGGGATAATCTAATGGCAAGATTATCTGTGCAAAAAACATGATACGTCCTTTTTAATCCGTTTCTTCTGATTGCTATGTTATGATAATGCTTTGATAGTTTTTGACGTAAGTTTGACGGCACTTCTATGCGTAAAGTCTAATAATAAATCCATTAAAAGTTTAGCATGCATTCACATATAGTCTATTAGTCTTTTCTGACAGATTCAAATTACTTGTATGGCATAAACTCAAAATAAGAGAATATGTATTATAGGATACTATTATGTTAAGGTCAATTAACTTTTTTTAGATCTTGTATTGCCCCAAAACTTTTATCTAGACTTCAATGGAGCTATATATATTAGGCTTACTGTTATAGTGAATACCTTTTCAAATAGGATTCACCAGCCAACTTTAGTTAAACAACTCTTCCTGTCAGAATTTTTTAATTCATTCACTATTTTGTGAAACCAAAGATAATTAGAAAAGGTAGTCATTAAAATCTAGTACCCCAGGGCAAACAAACAAGAATTTTATTGATAAAAACAAATTTGGATAGGGGCTTAAGTGCAATCTGATTTTAAAAAGACAGTGAAATTACCAATGCTTTATTGCATTCTGTTCTAATAACTCATTAGAGTGCAATTTGAAATCAGTTTTATAGTATCAGAGGGCTAAAAGAGATGTATGTATATATATGATTTTCTCTTTTTATAGATCCCAATTAGATCAAACCTACAAATTATTTATCTCTAACGTAGATATACTTTCATGAAATTTATGAATCAGCATTCTGACCTATCAAAGTTTTCCTTTGTTCTTTCCAATAGTTGGGCAATACTTCAAAATTTTGTCTAGAGGAAGTCCTTTCTAGAACCACTTGGTTTTAATTTTATTTTTGATTTAGAAATTTTAATTGATCCACCTTAAGTCAATGTCATTAAAAATGGGGCATTACAATATGCAGATTAAAATATTTTAATTCCAAAGTTGATGCAATAATGATTGATTGAAATGGTTTGAAATTATTATCAATTATTTCATAGCCTCATTAGACGCAATCTGAAAGAACACAAAGCATGGTGGAATTAAATGCAGTCTTCACATTTTTTGTGCTGATATTTTTGTGTTTTCTCTGTAAAATGCACAAATGATTTTTGGGATTATGTTTTTTGCAAAAATATCAAAGTGAGGACTGTGTTTCTCATCATTGTTTGTTTCTAGATGATGTCACTCACTCTGGTAAATTATTCAGCAATGATTATAGTATATTATGGCAAAATGAAGATTTTATTTTCCAGTCTGGTGATGACTGCAGAAACCAAAAAACTCCAGTCCCAACTCAGCAGAGGAGAATCCACAGCTCTAGATGATGACAAGGCAAGTATTTTATTCTATTTATATTTTTTTCGTTAATGAGAGGAAGCAGATTATAAATGGCTTATAAAATGGCTGCCTGTCTCTTTCTTCTGATTATATGGAGTACACAGGAGAGATGAAAGTAACTTTCTGTCACGTACAATTGAAATGCTTCTTTGTAACAGGGTGTACTGTTAACTAGCAAAGAAATATTTTCTAAAACATTCTTAATGTTTCATCAGTTAATTATTTAAGTGTTGGTCAAACTGTGCATATATGCAGCAGGAAATGGCCAAGTAACAATAACATGTTGTACTGTTCAGTCTATGTATGTCAAAAGCTAATTCCGATGTTTGTCCATCATAAAGTCATATAACATAAGACAAATGTTATTTATTTTTTTCACTTGATTTTGACTATAGGAAAGCAGTTATTCTGGTGAGCTACCACAGCTTAAAGGTGAAAAGCTCCAAGCTCAAGGTAAATATTCAATAGTATTGCATGATGATGATGATGATGAAACAGATGGAAATGAACTTTTTGTTCTTGTAGCCAAAGATGTAACATATCTATGTCCGTTTAGTGGGCCTGTTAGAGGTCATCTCTACGTAACCAATTATAGGTTGTTCTTTAAAGCAGATGATGTAAGTATTCAGAATATTAAAGCACACCCAGAAGCACAATATTGTGAATTCATCACTTTCTTGATATTTAATTCAATGATCTTACAGGATCCACCATTCTCTGTAGAAGTGCCATTGTGCACAATTTTTCGTATTGAAAAAATTGGAGGAACTACAAGTAGAGGTGAAAATGCATATGGACTTGAGATTTCCTGCAAGGTAAATCCATGTAGTTTTGCGGATGTACTTATTAATATTTTTATACCTGGTATAGGTCCTCAGGCAAGTTAATTTGTGATAAGCTGTGTGAAACTTGTATCTCTTCTATAAAATGTGGCCAATGTTTAATCAAAAACGTTATCTACAAAATTCGATGTGTACATTGTCATCGTTTGTATATTGGCAAAACAGGTAGAACGGTTGGATCTAGAATAAAAGAACATGTACGCTCAAAGCAAACTGTATATAACCATCTTATCGAACATGGCATTCCTTCTCAACGTGACATCAAATGGGAGTTACTACACACCAACATCAGATATAAACACACATGCAAAATTGTAGAAGCCCTAGAAATACAAAAACATAAGAACTTAATGAATGGGTGCATCAGATGCGCACTGAACCTTGAATGAAATCGACCTTGTTCACTCAACCTTTACCACATTTTATTATCTTGATACCTTTGTAATAATATTCACACTGATGAAGCCCTGACCGGCAAAACGTCTGCATTAAACATCTATTTCACTTTATGCCTTGAGAAGTCCACTTTTCCTTACATTAAGTTAATTTATATTCTTAATAGAACTTATTCTAGACAAATTAAGTTTTTACTCTATTTACAAAGTAATCAGTTGATATAATGCAGATTTTGTGTTATATTATGATCATTGTACAAACTGTGTTTGTATATTTGTAGGATATGCGAAATTTACGTTTTGCACACAAGCAAGAAAACCACTCAAGGCGTGTAGTGTATGACAGACTTATGGTAAATAGTAGACAGAATAATCAAAAAGAGCATTGAACTATATGTAATATAGAATTAAATTACATTTGAAGCAATACAGAAGTTATGCCAAATGTTTTGTTCATATGTTAAATAAGATGCATACAGTATTAGGTAAATCCTGGTTTCTTTGTTTCAGCAATATGCTTTTCCTGCATCAACAGGAAAGGTAAGTGATCTAGCAGAGATTGAACTTGACACTCACACCCACTAGTGAACCTGTAGACAAAACCTGGACCTTAACGTGTACCAGAACCCTATTTATGACTGTCTTCAATGTGTACTCAAAGAACCCTTTGTGGCAGGGTGAAATCATGCATAAAACAAACTCAACCCCAATAAATTTATGACAACTCACTCAATGTACTGCTTGTTTTTTTTATTTTTTTGATATTTTCAGCCATTTTTTGCATTCTCATTGAAAGAAGAATATGAAAACAATGGATGGGAAGTTTTTGATTGTGAAAGTGAATTTCAAAGACAGGTAAATGGAATAAATCACATGATACTTATGTACACTGGGACTAATTGAAATTATGATTATTGACAAAATTCCCTTATGTGAGAGACACTATAAAAGGCTTACTGACAAAGTTTCATGATACTTGAAGTAATTGCAAATAATTCTTCAATTACAAAGAACTGTATGGGTCCAGTACATTCTTGTATTTCTAAACATCTTATATTTATTTTAAGTTTAAATTTTAAACTTAAACTTTAATTTAACCATATTTTATGTGAGAAACTAGATCCCAGTCACTTTTTTATTTTATTGTCTGCTCTAAAGACATGATAATAGATGTTTATTTGAGTGGTAATTTTGTAAGATTTGCTTATACCAAAACCTATCATTATCATGCTTATCCAGGTACCAAACTTGATATAATAGAATTCACTCACATGGTATTTTCCTCTAATCAGGGACTTCCTACTGACTGTTGGCATATCACTAAAATCAATGAAAGATATGAGCTTTGTGATACATACCCAGCTTTGGTGAGTATGAACCTGATACAATAATTGCTCATTCCGTGAGCTGATTCTATATTTAACTAAACAATCAAATGTTGAAATATTCCTGCATTTCAGTATCTGTGTCTTATGTGTTGAGTTATGAACAAGGTCAATCTTGTAATATGCTAATTACAGTGATGTCAAGGATGGCTTTGTTAGATTTACAAATTTGAAGCAGTCGCTCAAAAATACTTTTATAAACGTTATCTGGGAATATGGGTATTCCCTACATTTCCTGATGAATGTCATGGAGCCATTTTTAAGTGACTACTTCAAATTTCATATATCTAATGGAGCCTTCCTTGACATCATTGTCCTTAGCATATGCAAGGTTCATAACTCGAAGACATAACACTGATATGCAGGAATATTTCACCATTCAATGTTTTACCTTATCTGCATGGGAGTCTTGTTAGACATCTACAATTGCAGAGAAAAGAAAAGAAAAACACACAGAATATGGAGCATTTCCATAAACTACATGTGTAGGACGGTAACATGACTGCATTGCATTCTCTAGCTTGGTGTACCATCATCGGTCACAGATGAAGATATCAAGAAAGTTGCTTTATTCAGGAGCCGAGGACGTCTTCCAGTAAGGCAATATTCATTTAATCTGTTTGATAATGTCTCTTAGCATTGCTTTTTTTTGTTTTGGCTTGAAGGTGTTATCATGGCTCCATCCAAACAATAATGCATCCATTACCAGGGCAAGTCAACCAACTGCTGGACTTCTAAACAAAACCAGAAACAAAGATGATGAAAAGTACTTTCAGGTAATCAGAGATGAAGATATTAGTGTGAACAGGAATAATTAGAGAGAAGATCTTTTGTATTAGCCAGATTTGATTCATTTTGTCTTGATTAATGAAAAGTCTTTAGAGAAGGATAGCAGAAGAATAAACTTAAGATAAACTAACTTTTATAATTATGTAACTGAAGGCAATATTAGATGCCAATCCTCAGTGTCACAAACTTCTTATCATGGATGCACGTCCCAGAATTAATGCATTTGCTAATCAGGTAAGCTATTTCTTTTTGGTATCTCACTATATGCTGTATTTGTAAACAAAACAACTACCTAAGCTATCTAACAATATTGTTTCATACAATTGTTATGGTTTTGTTCAGGCTAAGGGTGGGGGATATGAAACAGAGGAAAACTATCAAAATACAGAAGTTATTTTCTTGGACATTGCAAATATCCATGTTATGAGAGAAAGGTTAGTTTGTATTTGGTTTGTTAGCATTTCTGGCCTTGCACTTACTGAAGAAGTCTATATTTTCAGTTTAAGAAAACTTAAAGATATCTGCTTTCCCACTATTGATGATGCACACTGGTTAACAAATCTAGAAAACACTCATTGGTTAGACTATATAAAGGTAATAATATTGTACAATATTACAACTTAGTCATTAGTGTATATGTACATGTAGGTCAATACCAAAAACAGAAATATATTCTATTCCAGACATGTCATTACATTCCAGTCATGTCAATCATTTCCATATTGGTCACTTCCTTCATTCCCATTCCACTAGGATCATGCCATTAATCAAGACATTCAATACCATCCTCATTTTATTCAAAACTGATAAGGTTGTTGTTTTTTCTAATGGATAATTAATGAGATTTGTTCTGCTTATGTTCTTAAAATTCTGTTACTTCCAGTCTGTTGTATAAAAATGTTATTTTGTTGCATAGATAATCTTGGCAGGAGCTGTTCGTATTGCTGATGCTGTCGATAGGTGCAGAACTTCAGTAGTAGTACATTGTAGTGATGGATGGGATAGAACATCACAAGTATGTCTTCATTGATGTGTATTCCCATAATTATAACTTAGTATCAGCTACTGTATGATAATTTGTTTATTGAAGTGAATATCATGTAGTGAATATCATTCTAGTTAAGACAGAGAATCTTGGATGATTAGTTTCGTATTTCTTAAGTTGACAGCTCTTGCAATGCTACTCTTGGATCCATACTACAGATCAATCACAGGTTTTGAGGTAGAGTGTTATTCCTTTTTATGAGAATTTCATTGATATGAAACAGATTCTTGCTGGACAATTTCTAATAATGGTTTATAAACCCTGTATATTATCATCTGGTTTAGTCAGTAAAGACTAAACATTGAGAAAAAGATACCAACCATAATCCATGTTTCATCATACATTCTTTCTTTCAAACTTTTTAAAGACCTGTGTCCCTCCGTAATTCAAGTATATGCTAACCTAAGCATCAGGCCTTTTTGTCCCCTAGAGAACCTGATGTTCTGGTTAATCTGAAACAGTGTCAGTAATTGTTAGCCAAGTAACCAGATAATGGACTGGAGCTGGCTTGTGACTTTTTGCTCCACCTTTAGTTTTCTACAGAATGAGACCTTGATTACAACAATATTTAATTCAGGTCTTTCTTCTTGCAAATAGGTACTTATCGAGAAAGAATGGCTATCATTTGGACACAAGTTCAGTCAGGTATATTTCAATCAATCAATCAATATAATTGAAAACTTCATTGACCTTCATTTTCTCAATAGCGTTATGGCCATGGGGACAAGAACTATGCTGATGACCAAAGGTCTCCAGTGTTTCTCCAGTTTATTGACTGTGTTTGGCAGGTCACTAGACAAGTGAGTTCAGTGTGGATTCCATCTCATTCTTGCACATTCTATTCTTTCATTATGTTACTTTCCACTTATGTCTCTTCTCTTCTATTCATTCCCATTCAGTGTTCATGTAATAATTATGTTCATGCTCTTTTTGGTAGTTTCCCTGTGCATTTGAATTCAATGAAACCTTTCTTATCACTGTATTGGACCATCTGTACAGGTACTGAGAGTATACTTGCTACCTAGTGTTGTGCGCTCTATGCTTCTTTTTTTAGCTGTTTTAATGAAATCATGCGTGCGTAGACTGTTTAGAAAGAAATGTTGTGTTAAACAAATAAATTCCGTTTTTAGTGCGTATGTACTCCAATAGGTACTCAGAAAATGTCAAAACAACTTGCTGTCGACTGACTGTCTTGTGTCATGTTAGTTTACTTTAAAATCATTTGTGTATCAGTGTTAAGAGAATTTCACAGATACATGGAAAATGGAATCACTGAAAAGGGTATTTCTCAATAATTTTATCATAGAGGTTCAAGCAAACAAACATATTTAAACAAATTCAACAATATAATTTCTATTCACAAGTCTCATTTTTAACTCATTAGTTGTATGTTTGGCACTTTCCTTCATAACTGTGAAGCACAAAGAGAGAAAGACGTAAGTATAACTATTGTGTACTTTAGCTATAGTCGCACTGACCCAGATGTGATCTTTATTGCTCGCAAAAGGCAAAAAGGATTTTGTATATTTTTCTTCTCACATCCTGGTTTAATTGCAAACTGATACCAATTTCATAACTTTACTTGCAGGAATTAAAAGTCAAGACTAATTCGTTATGGTCATATATCAATTCCAATGTAAGATTTAGCAAACATCATATTCCCAATATAGTTAGCCTTATTAGTCTGCACAATAATCTCTTATACGATTTTCGACCTGTGTCATATGCAAGCTTATTGCCTTTATGGTATACTATTGTGGGGTACAGTTTGTAGCGGCCTTATGTCCCACAGGGGATGAAGATGATTGATGATGATGATAATTGTGGGATTCTACCAGCTCACTCCTTAACAGGTCAAGTGAAGCCCATAACAGCTATCCTCACCTTGTTTTCTAGACGGATGTACATACTTTAAGTTGTCAAAGGCTTCCTGACAGTTTTTTGCAGTTCTTCCAGTATTATTTTTCTTCCATTAGCTTGTTTCCTCAAAGTGTTCATTATTTTCAAATACTCATCCATCAGTCAGTCCTTTGTTCATTTTTTTAAGGCAACACTGATCCAGTTTGATGTATTTTCAGATCCTTGAGTTCAAAAACCCTTTGTATGCACCATATCTCCACCAGCATGTGAGTACAATACCGACCGTGTCATCATGTACGGCAATAGAGTGACGCACTTAATCTGTGAAACTTATATAAATAATAATAAATTATGCTAATTCCTTTGTTTCCTATTGTTGCACTATTTGTTTCATGGTTTCAGGATATTTATAGATAATTTTTATTTCTGAAGCTAACAATGTATGGTGTCTCCAGGGCATTTACAATAGATTTTGATTTGATTACACTGCAGGTTTTATTTCCCGTTCCAAGCATGCGTAGACTTGAACTGTGGACTCACTATTACATCAGATGGAACCCACGAATGCAGGCCCAGGTACACCATGTGGGATAAGAAATTATAAGGGGTTGACATTAGCGCATGCTCTTAACACAATGCTTAGTATTTTTTGTCTTTTGTTTGTCTAATCCTGTTATTAGGAATCTGAGGAGCAAAGAAATAGGGAGTTGTATTTCCTATGTGAACAGGTAACCATGTCAGTGGGTTTTTGTTTCAATTATTGCTGGACCTTGATTGATTTCTTTGCTATTTTCAGCTTCGTGGTAAATGTGACAAACTACAGCAAGAGATTGATTCTCGCATGACAGACTTGGAGGTTCCTTCTTCACCGGATGCTGTGTCTGTACACAGCAGTAATTCAAACACACAGTGGACAGCCTCTGCCGTATAGAATATCAATTGTTAAATATAATTCCTGTAGGAATCATAAATGATCGTTTTAAAATTTCCACATTGTTGGATAAAATAACAATTCTGAACTTACTATTTCAACAGTCTCACAGATACTTATCTGCACAAGTGAAACTGACCCTATAGTACACACATGCTAGGGTATTAACTTTACGAGGGTCTGTAAGGGGACAGGCAGCCCGCCACTAAGAACGGCTGACTAGTCTATAAGTTACCTTTCATTCAGCGAAATTGGTACATTATATAAATTATTTTAGTGATTATGTATTATAATATTGTACGATTAAAGCATGGATGTGCAGAAAGATTATCATGTAAGAATAAAGAATTTGAGCCATGTTATGTACGCTTACAACCATTAAAGCTATAGTGCCTGATTATATGAAACGAGAACAATCAAAGGAAATTATCCTTTTTAACCATGCCAGTCATGTTCATATATGAATCAGGCATTAAGTAGAGCACGTACGTTTACCAACATACCATCGCCGTAATTAGCCCCAAAACGTAGTTTTCCTAGTGTCTTCTGGTTTCGCCCTTGTCTCGCCCCATTTTGTCCCTCAACATAGAGGGTGGAATACAGGTACAGAATTTAGTTAGCAACTCAAGGTACGACGATTACAAACAGGTATCAAGCTGGCTGTAGATCAGTTGCAGCTCCTCATGACGTTCCTAGACAGCCCGCAAACTGGACTATGTTATAGTTTTCCTTTCTCTGGCAGCCTTGCCACCCATAAAGCGCACCGAGTGGAAGAAATAAGCATGAGAAAGATGGTCCAAGCCAAAAACGTGCATTCGCAGCATCTTATGGCATCTGGATGTAATGTTTAAAGTCCGACAATGAGGACTGGACGGGATTTCAAGTCCGCGCAAATAGGGCACAATCAAGAAATGAAATAAAAGGAAATGAAATCAATCCGTATTGTGATGATCGTTGGCTCTCAAAAGAAAAACTCAGGGAAAAATTGAAAATCTTGAAATCTTCTTAGGACACTGTTTCTAGGAGTGCGTCCACCTCTATTGTAAACATAGATTCTGCAAGTTTGCAACGCTCCATTCTTTATCTTTATACTAAAAACATGTACAAGTGTTTTGTGATCGATGACAATTTATTGTAATAGACATAATTTAATAATTATAATAAATATTATGCACGGATTGATCAGTAATGGAGATCAGTTGCCTTCGGTCTTAGCTGTAGGACATGCCTTGTTTTGACAATAAAAGATTTTTGGATGGATATCCATTGTGTTAATATTCACATAACGCATCTTATACTACATCAGATCATTCCCCTGTCTTTTTCACTTTTTGTGCATCGGCCTGGGATACCATACTTGACGGAACGTTTTGCTACTGCGAGATAATATCGTACACTGCTAAGGCAATACTATACTCCTTTAACCACAGCAACACCAGCCACAGCTTTACACATGCCCATGGGTCCAGTAACATTCCATTCGCCTAACTTAGGATTGAAGTATTCCACTGTATTCCGATAGGAAACTCCGTCATGACCACCTAATGCATATAACAATCCAGCTACTACACTAACACCATGTCCACTGCGACATACACTCATTGGTGCTACAAATGCCCACCTGTCATCTCTCGGGTAATAACGCTCTACAAGTTAATATACAATACGGTTACACACCATATATTAGAAATTGTTTTGTACACCTTGATTGGCATCACCTTGATGCTGCTTTTCTTATATACTTTCTATACTTAAACAAAAATCAGCTTACCAGAGGTTTTAATACTATAGTATAGGTCATAGGGTTAATTCCCAGGGAAATATTTCAAAAAATCTTGACTTGCAAAATTTGCAATTTCAGTATTTTCCCAGCTATATGGAAACCAATGCTAGAAGGTTACCTGAAGTACTAAGGTTGGAGGTGCCATCATAACCACCAGTTGCATATAAGCGCCCATGGAGAGTGGCCACCCCTACACCTCCTCTGCGTGCCCCCATAGAGGACACATAAGTCCATTCATTTCTCTCTGGATCATAACGCTCCACAGTTTTAAGATAATTGACTCCATCATGTCCACCAACAGCATAAAGATATCCTGAGATAAAAAATAGCAAATTGAAAAATGAGAGCACATAAGTAAAACCTGTGCAAAGTGGGATTTGAATGGGTTATGCTTATGTATGAAAATAAATTGAGGAAAGTTGCTTTCATGGTAGCTACAGCCTTCTCGTAATCCTTTTAGTATTCAAACTATATGCCCAAAAGAATATATTTAGCCTTTGCTTTCATCTTTAAATAAGTGTAACATGAAAATCATTGTGGGAATACTATTTTCTTGGACCATAAATCTTTCCATGAAAATGAATGGCAGTTGAAATAAATTAATGGACAGAGTGGAAATACTTTACCTTAAAAATGGATTGAACAGTAAATGCTACTTGACAGGTATATATAAAGTGTTTATCCATCTTGAAGATGGCTTAGCTAGCACTTACCAGGCTTATTTGTTAATGAAGGTAATCCCAAATCACTATCAGTTAAGACTCCCACAGCAACATGTCGCCTTCTGTTCTTCATAGAGGCAGAATATTTCCATTGATCTGTCTTAGGGTCATAAACCTCGACAGAATCAAGAACATTACTGCCATCATAACCTCCTACAGCATATAACAAACCTCCTATAACACCTACAGCTACATAACGACGAGGATTGTTCATTGGAGCAACAAATTTCCATTGCTTTGTGGTGAGGTCAAAACATTCAACACTAGAAAAGAACAAGCAAGCCATGCTAGTACACAGTCAAACATGTAACAAAAAAAAAGGAATCAATAATAATAATAATAATAATAATAAGTTAATAATAAGAGGGTAGCAGCTAATAATCATTTATTTCAATACTAGTTGTGTTTTAATTCTGTATTAGTTTTTCGTTTTTTCCTCCTCCCCCTTTTCTCTCTTTTTTCTTGTTTTTTACTATGCCTTCTACTAGGTAACTAGGCAATTATTTGATAAGATTGTTGTTGGTTTCAAAACAGTCAAAAAAAAGACAGCATCTTTGTGATATCTCCAGTCTGGATCCACTATGATCTTCTTCATTTAAGCTGCTTTCATGAACTGGCACTAAAACAGGAAGGCTTTGATTTAATCCCAAAAATTTAGCTTTGCCTACAACTTCATTAATAATAAGTAATAAATAAAACTACATGTTAATTATTCATCACTTTCATCATTCAAATGTTTGCTCATGAGTAAACAAAGCATTAATGATAATACACTAAAAACATAACATATTTCTCAAAATTAAATGATAAGAAATCTAATCAATCAAAGCCACTTTATCTTTGACATGCATTCATTATTTACATGGAGCTCAATGTACTGAATATTATTCAAAGGGATATTTGACATAAAAAGCTTTCTCTCAAGTGCACTGTTAGCTTTTTACTTAAGGCTCCTTTATATATTAAGTATCTACTGTACTAGCTTAACTGCAAGTCTTTCTAAAGAAAGCTTTTATTGTTATTCTGCCAATTCAATGAATTAAACAACAAGATTACATTTTAGTTGCATTTCCTGCATTAAAAGCATCCAGAAATAACATATATTTTCAAAAAAGAAAAAATATAAATTATTCAAAATTATAAAATGCAAAAAAAAATGTTAGGAGGCTAATCTAAACTTTGTTTAGCATTTTTCCCCTTCTATATCGTTCTTCATTCATAATCAAACCTTAAACAGTACATAACTGATTTTTAACATTTAAATGCAATAGAGAATAATAAATCTTGGCATGTTGATTGAATAAGTTGCAATAGCTTAAGGCCTTGTAATATTGTAGATAAACAAGGGAAACTGTAAGACTGCCTGTTAAGAATACAGCAGGAGCCTGAGTGCACTAGCTGTGTCTTGATGTGAAAGTAAGATGAGTTTAAATTTATTATACGAATGGTCTATCCTCTGCTGTGTTTATCACAGTCTTACAAAAAACACTCAATCATATACAGCTACCAGGCAAAAGACCCCTTAGAGAGGTCTAGATATATCATCATCAAAATATACTTAAAGTTCAGCTTGAAGCCTACAAATTAATATGAGAGAAAAATAGAAACAAAATAAAAAACAAAACAAAAAATGACCAAATGAACAGATGATTTTTTTAATGTAAATTGAATAACTAAATATTTATACCTATTCAAGTAAGAAGTTCCATCATGACCACCTACAGCATACAACTTATTGTCCAAGACACCAACACCAACACCACTCCTTGAAACATTAGTAGGACTCATAAGTTTAACTTTATTACTATGAAAGTCATAACGTTCAACTGTCTTCACTGAATGACCAGTAGAATCCATACCACATATACTGTACAACAGCCCAACAGTTGACCGTCTTGGATTTAGACTTTCTTCCATCTGCGTCCTGTCTGGAAGTATGTGGAAATTCTTAGCCTCATCAAGAAGATTTCTACAAGCTATATCCTGATGTATGAGTTCTTCTTTTTCCACTTGATCAACAAGAAAATGAGGTGACAACAGAGGAAGCCTTATCTTGCCCAGCAGTTCTGGTAGAAGTACTTTTCTACCTTCTAAATCATGTTTAACCCAAAATATCAAAGCATTATACACATCTTCTTCACATTCTACATTCAAATCTTCACTGGAAAGCAGTAGAGCTAGTTCATCTTTTGGTAGCAGCAAAAACTCCTCATTTTGAACTACATCATTGAAATGTTCACAGATGAATTTTTCAGAAGCTTTTCTCAAGTCTGGACATGAATGCACATCAGCAAAGGATCTTATTCCCAAACAGTTTGAAGGGTGGAGTTGACGTTGCAAAAAATCAGAGCAAGCTTGTTGTAGATTTGAAAGTTGGAAGAGGGAGCTGGCATACATCAAAGCCTGAACATTGTCAGTGTTTATGTCAAGTTTACCTGTATAAGCAAAATCAATGAGGCTTTCTACTGCTTCACTGTCAACATCTTGGAGAGTTACCGTACGTTCAAAGCTTTCCACAAGTCCTCCAGTGAACATTGCTTGAAAGTACGAGCTAAACGATGCCAAAACCAAACGATGTGTGGAGATTTTTTTGGTCCCAACACAAATGACCACATCACAGAGCTGTTTTCTAGCTCTTAAGTCATCCATAACCATCAATGCTTTTATCCCATGTTTAGTGCCAGCTTCGTACTTAAATACATCTTCATCTTTTCGGCAATTTTCGTGTAGAACTCTGTCGAAATCCATGCTTTGTGGCTCATTCACTTAGCTTTATTTTAATTGTAAAAACCTGCTTGTAAGCTGATTGATAAATTGYCTGGTAACACAAAAGCGTGAGGACGACTTAATGCTAAATCATCTATTTAGCTACTTATGCAAATCAAATAAATCACTTCTCGCGTCACTGTCACAGCAAATATATAAGCTTAACTAAATGTAGCAAGCGATATAGAGAAAGAACACTACCTACATCAAACTTGCCTTGGTTGTCTGGTATTGATGTGCTGCTAGGGACGTACTAGTGATCTCTATATCGTGAAAGTGCTTTTTGTTGCTATGTCAAACAAACTTGCGTTGATGAAGTGTAATTTATCTTGTGATCGTCAGTTCAAATGAATAAAGCACCTTCACATCTCTCCTGATCACCCGCCACATATGTCCTTCGACAACACAGGAAGCCCAAGTGTTGGAAGACACACAAAAAAGACACACAGTTTCCCAGTTTCCAGTCGTTTCCAGTTTAGTTAATTAGTGGGAATTGAACAAAGACAAATGAGAAGAAGCGTATAAATTCGAGGGTGCCGAACATATAGTGGCAGTCAAATCGTCCGTTTTTGAAACAAAAAAAGAATTATTGCTGAGAGTCCTTGGTAATAGCCCTTTTTATGTTTTGTCAATTTGCCAGGTTTGGGTGTCGGTATTACTTATTATTAATGATAAAAATATAATGGGAAAGGAAGGAAAGAAAGGAAACACACACAAAAATAATTTTTGGTTTTTAGTCATTCATTTCTTTGTTTATATAACTTCAGCCAAATTTTATATCGTTGGACTTCCTGTCTTTTTAGTCACATGGTTGATTACCCTTCACCTGATTGGTTAACCTTTCAAAGCTTCGCTAGCAACCGAGTCAAGGACGAAATACAAAACAACCAGATTAGAAACTGCGAAGTTTGGTGGAGCTTTCACAAGCAATTATGACAAAAACATAGTTTTAATCCGCTTTCAATGTAATGTTTATGAAATAAGGATCATATCTGTTCGGAGATGTATGAAAATTTTAGGCATGCACACGGCAGTGGCTCGGGATCTGGTAAGCTTAGAGTTTATTCTTTTTGAGGTGACCAATACCTTGGACTTCACCTCTGTCTAGTTACTAATTAATTCTTTGCTGAAGACAATTGTTGATTGTATTTGATATAATTACATGTTTTGTACTATATTTATATACAAATACTAGCACTGATCTACCTAGTTTCTTAGAATAGTATATGAAGTACTAGTGTCTTTGATTCAATGGAGATGACAGCCTTGCAGTCGAGATGTCACTATCAGAGTTTATGACTTGTATTTACACAATTATCGAATCTTGCTTATGTTTGCTTAGCACAGTTTTTGTACCTCCGCTCGCGATAGTATAACTATGTACCGCAGCTGAAAGAGTGATCAATAGAATTTCTAGAGACATAGTTGATTGGGGTAATCAATTTTACATTCGTACCTACACCGTAAGACATTGCAAGGTGCAACCCAGAGTCCATACGTGAGAAGTTTAGGCGATTATGCCCAGTGGACCTGAGTTTGAATTCTTTTTGGCTACTACAAGATCATCAGGTCTCTTTCATGTTAGTTGATCCATGACTTTGATTTCCCTCTTACATGAAGGATGCTAAGAACCACCCACCCTCTTGCCATAATTGATACCATGCTTAAAAATGTACCCATCTATTTCTCTTTAGACTCATAGATTTTATGATATATTCACAAATACCATCTAGGACCTGTTGCCAATCATTTATCCAGGAAGAAGAATAGTTCCACCATGGTCAATGGTCAAAACTCAAAACCATCCACAATGCCTAGCAAGAGTGAGCGTCTCAATTCACCCAATACAAGTAAATGGGAGCCAGATGTCAGGATGATGATGTCAACAAATCAATGGCTTAGGGTATACTGTGATTATTTTCTGAAACTATACAAAATTGTAGAGAGCGTAATGGTAACCTTAAGGTAATAATCTTAAATCAACCAGTTAATCTTTCTTTTTAAAAGGTTCATGGACTAAAAAAGCGCAAGCTAGACATGGCACAAATATTGCCATCAATTGGATTTAGACATTCAGATGGTAAGGTGTCTGTTACCTTTATATTTTTACAATTGTTTTTGATACAATATGCAATGTATTGTTTGTTTTTGTAACAGATTATGTCCAGCCACTGCAAAAGCCTGTCCGTGCAAGATATTGTAAAGGTCTTTTCACACAAGTACCCTATAGAAATGGATCTGTTTACAATGTAAGCTACTTTTATAATTGCCACTAAATCAAGTTTTCTTTTAACCTATTTTAACTGTTGATGTATAATAATATCATCCTCATTTGTTGTCTGGTTAACAGGTGATTGCAAGCAAAGAGAAGCTGCAAACAATAGAAGAACAGTTAAAACAAGTGATCAGTTTATATAAGAGAAGATTAGAATGGCTTACTACAGAAAGGTGTGAAATGATCAAATTTACATGTCTTGTAGGTCTGGAATTCCAAATTTTAGTTCTTGACATGGTGATGTATGATACAATACAATGAAAAACAATTTTTGTTAATAATTTTTAGTCGTAGAGTGTTTGGAGTAATAGAAGAGAGATGTATCACCATTATCCTGGATATTGATGTAGCATCAGATACTCTATTCGACACCTTCCGACATGCACTTATACAAGTCATCAAGGAACAAGTTATGTTTATTGCTAAGTTAAACCTTATTCGCTGTGCTGCTGATATGCAAGTTTGGCAGGATCATGCAGTTTGTGTAACACTTGACAGTATGGAAGATGCACTGGACTGGATATGGAAGCTTAACAAAATAGTACCAAGAACTACTACATGTACCGTAGAGGCTGTCACTAAAGCTATTAATGACCAACATGTAAGATTACCTGCTTTACATCTTTATATTGATGACTTCATACATTAAAATTGTTCGAAATGTTAAAGGGTGTTTAATACTTATAGAAGCAAGGGGGGAAGAAAACAACAGCAAAGCACTAAATATTAAAGTGAAAATCTCTTTGATAAGATTAAGTCGAGATTAATGATTCAAATAAAATACTAGATACAGATGATTACTTGTGCACTGCCTTATATCAACGTTATACATTTGTTAGGTGGAGGCTGTTTACTTATTTACTGAGGGAGCCGCTTCTGATGGATCATCTGAGCTCCTCAAACGAAAGGTTAGTTCTGACAGCAATGACAAGTACTAGATCATTATAAATGATACCTATTATAATTGTACTTGTTTAGCTGCAGGGAAATCAAATACCTATCCATGTTGTTTCATTCAACTGCAACAGTCCATCCATGATCCAGTACTTCAAAGAAATTGTTAAAGACACCAGTGGAAGGTTAGCAAACAATAAATGTTTTTTAATTGAATCTGCAACAAACATTTACCAGTGATGATCACATTGATTTCAGATTCCATGCATTCTCCATCAGTGATGAGTATGACGACACACTGTCAACCATAAATGATGTTGATAGTGGTAATCGGAATGGGCGTGGCAGGGGTGATGGTATGCCATCTCTTAAACTAGGGATAGGTGTACGTGAGGATGTGATCACTCTCTGGCAAGAACTAGATGAAGCAAGGAATGGCTTGGCTGAGATTCAAGCACTGCAGCTTGAACTATCTGACCCTAAGTCAACTCCAAGTATGCAGAAATTCTTTTAGTATAGTAATATTGCATGATTGATTGATTGGTTAAGTTATTGATGGGTTTATTGATTGATTGATTGGTTAATTTCATGTTAATCAGTATCTACAGTTCCACCACCAAAAGATAGCAGAAATGAGGTTACAAGACCAAAAGCAGGAAGTAAGAGCGAATTATACATGAGCTCAAAAGATTGGCTCAAGGTATGTTATACTCAGTTCCCTAATACTAGAGATTACTTTTGTTCATCATACATGTTTATCATATTCATAATAGCGCCATGGTCTCAAGAGTCGTAAGCTGGGGTTCTATGACTTGCTACAGACTCTAGCATTCAAACACTGTGATGGTGTAGTTGATATCCAGCAACCTCCAACAGACAATGGTATTGATGCTGTAAGTATCTTAGTTAGTGTATTCTACTACCTTTAGTAAAGTACAAATCTGTAAGAAAGATAAAAAGAAGTTCCTAACTATAAACCATGATTAATATATAATTTAATTTCCCTTGACATGTACATGTAATATATCTTTGTTATTTCAGATTGTTCGTCCAAAATTAGTGAATGCTCGATACTGTGACAAGTTTGCTCATGTCCGCTGGAAGGATGGTACCATTATGCATGTCCATGTCAGTGGTCCAGTACATAGGAACTTTGAACAAAGAATGTTATCTGCTTTAGATTCTTACAAGAAAAGGTGTCTATTTGTAATGTCTTGTTCATTCCTTTACTTTTCATTATTTCATTCCATAATTCATTCATTTCATCTTTTAATTCATATATCCCGTCCTTATTCATTTATTCATCTATTCTTTAGTCAATTCATTAATTTATTCATTGAGTCATTGACAAACACGTTCATTCTTTTATTGCTTTTTCCCCCTCTTCCATCCTTTCAAACATTCATCTTATCTTGTAGAATTGAGTGGCTCCAGCAAGGCAGTCGTGAGTTGTTTGGAACAGTCATTGAAGATCAAGTTACTATTCTTATTGACACTTCAGCATCCATGGCCTCTCGTTTGTTCCTAGTTAAAGACAAGCTTTACCGTCTAATGCAGGTACATGGACAACACGAAATTGCATTTTTTTATAGTTAGTGATATAGAATACTCACAAAACTCAACTCAGTTCTGTGCACCTGTATGCACTCGACCTGACCCAGCTTTTTCAGAGGTCTTGCACCTCTAAATAAAAGTCATTGTGATTGGCTGGCTAGAACAATAGGCTCTATTGTTTATGCCTCATTCTTTAGAGTCACGCTGTGTTGAGCCAACCAATTACCAGCAATGATCCCAGCTTTTTAGTTGATTTTTGATGTAATTTTATATTTTTCCTTATAAACATGATCTAAGGATGATTATATTTTAGGAACAACTTCGTCACAAAGTCAAGTTCAATCTAATGAAGTTTGATACTAAAGTACAAGCATGGCGTGATCGGCTGGTTGATTGTAACACACATGTAAGAAAAGCAAAATCTCTGCCTCACTGTACACTGTACACTGTCTACTTCCTAACAAATTCACATTGCTATCATAAAGCATTGACAAACGTTTTGGCGATTGATTGATTGAGTGAGTGAGTGATAGTTTGACTGATTTATTTGTTCATTAAATGTTTTGCTAGAACCTTGATAATGCATGGCAATGGGTGAAAGGACTGAGTACTGGAGGATCCACAAATACTTTAGCAGCTCTGAAACAGGCTTTATCTGATCAACAATGTCGTGGAATCTACCTACTTACCGATGGACGACCTGATCAGGTTCATATTTTGTTAAAAGTTTTCATTTGTTGTTGTTGTTGTTGTTGTTGTTAATATTTTTTATCTGATGTAACTTATCTTTCCTATGACTTGAATCTACAGCCTCCAACTTCCATCCATGCACAAGTACACCTTCTCGACCCAGTACCAATTCATACCATCTCGTTCAATTGTGCTGATAGCGAGGCTAATGAGTTTTTATGCCAGCTTGCGTCAGCAACTAATGCCAGGTATAGCTGGACCTTAATGATTGATATGATACATAAATAACACTGATGGTGATACTAATAATGTTAATCGTAGCAATAATTGTTGTTAGTTCTGTAATATCTTTGGGGACATCATGATAACGTAACAACTGTACAGTGATGATTGTAGTTTTAATATGACGATGTTCCAATAAAAGTTTGTTGTTTTGTTGTTGTAGGTTTCATTATTTCTCTGAGGATGGATATGACATCAATGGACCAAAGCCATACGAGGTAAGACCCCGACCAACTGCTTTAAATTGTCAGTCTTTAGACAATCTTTAAAAAATAATAGCAATAATAAATGATAATAGGTCTTCATCAAATCCGAGATAAAAGTAAATATCTTTACTTACAATGTAATGAACGAATAAGGTAAACGTAGATTTAATTATAAAATATAGTTCAACAGTAGTATCCACAGCCTGCAATAAACGAAACGCTGATTGAGAACTATTTTTCCCAACAGAGCGAAGATCTGAGGTTGCTAAGAGAAGAGATTGAAAAAGGCTTGTCTGACATGAAGAAGATTGCTATGTTAAGAAATGAGTGTGCCCAGTTGGACTGGTATGGCTCCAATACTGGACGTTGCTCAAAGTAAGACGTGAAACAAAATTACACCTTTACATCACCGTTCGTTAGTATTTTTCTTTATCTTTGATACTTGTTTAGTTGGTAATTCTTTTTATGGTCAGCAATTATTTTTATGTTTTCTGCGTTTTAAAAGCACAAACCATAAATGTTTGTGAGCCTAACACTGATTCTTCATAAATCTTAAGGACTCATTCTGGTTCGCGACCTGCACGGCCAACATCCGCCAAGAACAGAATGGTTCCTTCTCCGCCATCATCTGTGCGACCTTCAAGTGCTCGTGTGCGTCCCGCAAGTGGCCGTTCCTTGTCCTCAAGTACCGGTATACGCCATAGTAGCTTTAAAGACTACATTGTTAATGATGCTGTTAAAGACATCCCAGCACGTAAGCCAAGAGACAGAGAGTTTGTAGTTTCAGAGACACGTTCAAGTCAATTAAGACTCAACTTGAGAAAGCAAACTAGTAGTGACTGGATGTTGTCTGAAACACGAAACTACTTGGCAAGAAAACCTGAAGATTACAAGAAAACGAAAACCAAAGGTGAACTCGATGTCTGCACGACGTTATGTCTTAACTAGTAAATATGAGGCGTTTCCTGAACCCTTGTCTATGCACTTTCCCCACATACTACGCCTTTTAATGTTTATTTTGTTTATGGCAGAAGTTTAGAAAGAATATTAACGTTTCTTACATTTTTATTCTAGTTCGCACAAAGAAAAGGAAGAACACTAAGGCAAAAGTCGATGAGTATGTTTCATAACCATAGTTAATAGATAAATGATTGCGAGTGATTTGGATGGATGTTTGGATGAATGGGAAAGAACGAATGGCTAGCATACTTAATTAATGGTGAATGGCCAGAATAATAAATGGTTGGATGGATTAATGACTAACTGCATTGTTCATATATTTTTAGCATTCAGGAGGTATCAGTTAAGCAGTAAGTACTTAAATTTCGTTTCCTTTTTTCCATAATTGTGGTAAACACAGTATACCTAACCTTGTATGTCTTAATGTAGATGGCTTAAAGAACATGGTCTGGTTGGCCGTAAACTTACAATACTGGATGCACTGTCACCAACTCTAATCCCCCATACCACTAAATACGTACCGATACTGGATAAACACATACTGTCTAAAGTCTTTGACCAGGTAAACTTTTATATTCATATATGTGTGCTTATTAAATAATATTTGTACAGCGATCGTGTGGAAAGATGTTACGAATTCCAGAACTACCTTAGTTCCAGTAGAGACTCTTAGGGCGAAAACAGGCGAACGAATCATCACTGATATTTCATGTAATTTGATTATCAATTTTCATTTGCTGGCTTTTTGTTTTTAAATAATAACAGGTTTCTGGAGAAAGTAAACTTTGTGATGTTCTTTTTGTTCAAAAGATACAGACCAGTTTGTGACGTCTTCCATCTTTTTCAGGTTCTTCCTCTTGCACACACATCAGGTAGCAATCGTGACGAGGTTCAACTAGTCAATCCACAGGCCGTTAATTTGAAGGCTTATGAAGCCAAAGTAGAGGAAGCTATCAAACTTTATTCAAGGTGAGGCCAGAATGAACGATTGCCGAGTGCAATGTAGGAATAATTTGTACGTCGTATGGGCAAAAATGTATGTCACAATTCCACGTGATACTGACACATTGAATTTACGCGCGAACTTTCGTAAGATTGAACAAAGACGATGACGGACGATTTTTAAGCGTTCTTACGCATTACTTTTATCATAGTTAGTAAAACCCTAACCTCTCCCTCTACTAACTATGCTTTTATCAAAACCAATGAGATTGACTCAGCATTTTCAATATATTTAACAGAAAACTCGACGAACTAGTTTACTTTGGTTTGAGTGACCAAGAACGAATCAAGTAAGTCGATACGATGTTTTTCTCCCTTCACTTCTTTCTTTATTGTCAGTCACGTGTCACGAGGGTTAGTTCTTCGATTTTCAGCACCATTGAAGGAGTATGTGGCTGTGAATGTAGATTGTATTGATGCAAGTCCATGTAGTAATAGAGTACTTGCTCTATTTTCATATGCTATAGATATCCCGAAGACAGCGTACCGTCATTCTCTGCAAATAGACAATCCATGATGAGAGACTTAGAGGATCAGGGCTGGCAAGTTAGAAGAGAGGATATCATGTTGCTAGAAAAGGAGATCGAACAAGCCAACACTTTCTTGGTTCAGTCTCAAGATCTTAGAAAGGCTTCAGAACAGGTAGACGTACTGGTGTCATTTGTTTATACTACGTCTCTACGATGTCTATATTGCCATTGCCATGTCTCTTACATGTTTTACCGATTTGTGAGCAGAAACCTCGTTGATTTTCTCGGGCAGAAAATACACGCAGTGTTCATAACAATTTCTGTTTGTCTTCAGGCTGCAAAAGAAATAGCAGAAGAGCAAAGAAGAGCTCGCGAGGAGATGGAAAATAAACGAATCGAGAAAATCATGTCGAAGGTAGTCTCGTTGAAATCCAATGATGTTGCTCCTTGCTTTATTCTTTACACCCCGTTTCGTGTTTTCTTTTTTACTGTTTTTCATTTTTAAAAACTGAATTATTTCCATCTCTTTTTCACTTTTTTTATACTCATTATGCATGTTCGCTTTGATACCCAGAGTGCATCAACGACTGCAGTACCTACCCAGTCCACCCCGCAAGGGAACAAATACCGGCTTCGACATCATAAGGTCGTAGCCCGTAACGAGGTAGACGGGTTTTATTATCCAGGATTAGTTCGTAAATGCGTCAATCCTCGATATGTAGAGGTTGATTTTGACGGCTTTGAACGGCAAGTTGTAGGAGTACGATATGTTATACCAATAGAGGGTGCAAGGCCGTGCCCTTCCTTGAAGGTACGTCACCATCGTTATGTCATCATGTTTATATCATACTTAGTGTTTAATGAATACAGATATTTGAAAAAAGACTTATTCGAGACTTCAAACAAAAAACTAGTTTGATCTCTAATTATTCATTATGTAAAAAGACTACGTTCTTTGCAGGTTGGTGATTACGTACTTGTTCGTACCCCGATACCCCGTGAAAAAACAGATGATGTCATCATGGACGGGGGATATTGCTATGTACCTGGCATTGTGCAAGTTGTACCATTGAGAAAAGCAACTGCCTCAAAATGCTACACAGTTTTACGATTCAACGGAAAAAAGGTTGATTAACAATGATAAAATTTATTTTAACAAATTAATAAATATTAATAAATTATACATGTAGAGATATATACTTCCGCCACGTCAAAACGTACTCTGGATATTGTTGGCAAGCCTTCGGGTCTTTTGTAATAGAGAAAAGGTTTCAGTGGCCGATCCAGCTGGTGCAGGGGCTGCGTACCCCCTCCTGAGATCTGTATCCTTCAATACTTTTCTTATTAATTTGCATCTTCATGGTAATGATTTTTGTGGGGTGCACACCCTCCTGAGAGCCCCACACCCCTCCCTGAGGAAAATTCTCGATCCGCCCTGGGTCTTTCCATTTATACTTGAATGTCTAGTAACACTTTATAACTCAATTTCTTGCAGATAACATCAGTCAGGAAAGACCTCATTAAGATAGCTAAGGCTCGTTATACGTTTGCCTGTCGATATATACGAGATGCTTTAATATCAGCCTATAAAGCGTAAGTAAAATAACCATCTCCTCGGCCTATTTCAATCAATTCATGGACTTTTTTTGACTCGGTATTTTAGGCATGCTGGTACTATACTTTTAAAGAGAACTACTGAAAATAGTTCAGTTGCATCATGATCCAGCACTAGACTTACTATCATGCATTGCTCTGTTCAAGAAATGTTTACTGAAACCAAAATCAAAACGTGCTACCTATTTTTCAGATCTTGTCCATTTGGTTTGTATCCTAATGGTGTTGAAGAACGAAATGAACTTATTGCAGTCAACAAAGGTGAGTTTTCTTTAGTTACAGAGCCTCCGCACCAGTGCTTATAAGTTTCACAGCCCAAAATCAAAAGGATGGAAAATTGTTCACGATTGTGAAAGTTTATCGAATCTTAAAAATCTCAGTTTTAGTGTATTGCTGATCCCATCGCTGTTCAAAAATATAGCAGTCACATGGTGCATTATACGTTTAGATGTCGACTGTCGTAAATATATCATGGGTATCCGCGAGTTATTACAATACCGCATACGATCTTCATTTTTTTTTTTTTTTATTTGTTTAACTTCCTAACAGGAAAAGAAGATCTTGAAAATTCCAGAAGCAGATCAAATAGTAGTTCGAGCGAACATTCGGAAAAATTAAACGAAGCTAGTCGATCGAGAAGTCCTTCAAATTCAAGTTCGGGAAGTCGAAGCAGATCAAGAAGTCGAAGTCGTAGCCGTTCTCCAAGCCCAGCGAGAAGCGAGAGTTCGATCGAGAGCGATAAAGAAAGTGAGCCGCCTTCGCCGAAATCTCCCAAACGTAAGTACAATAATATAGCAGTATTAAATTAAATATGTTAGAAGAATACAGATTCTTTTGTAGTGAGAGAATCTGTGAACTTCAAGAGCTGCTGTGGTGCCTATATTTACCAATTTTGAAGATGGAATCCAAAAACAGAGAAAAATATTTACTCTTTACTATATTTCGTTACTGTTGCTGACATATTCTATGTACCTCTTGATTACTAAAGGAAGATCAAGAAGCCCGACTGATCATTTTGAAGACCTTAAAAAAGAACTAGACGAGAAACATGCCACGCAGTTGAATGAAATCAGGGAACAGCGTGACAAACTTGAACTACTTCAACAACAACTCGCAGAAGAGCAAAAGAAACAGAAGCAGCAACAGGATGCCTTGGAACAGAAGCAAAAAGAGTTACAAGATAAACAGGATGAACTAGTACAGGCACAGATAGAAGAACATAAGGACAAACAAAACAGGTACTGATTGTTTGCTTAAAATCGATTGGTTCAATGGTGGGTTTGTTAATTGATTGATTGATTGATTGGTCGTTGATTGATTGATTGGTCGCTGATTGATTGATTGATTGGTCGTTGATTGGTTGATTGATTGATTGGTCGCTGATTGATTGATTGGTCGCTGATTGATTGATTGGTCGTCGATTGGTTGATTTGTCGTTGATTGATTGATTGACTTGTCGTTGATTGATTGATTGATTTGTCGTTGATTGATTGATTGATTTGTCGTTGATTGATTGATTGATTGAGCCTGTCTTGTGTAACTGTGTTTTTTAATGTTTATTAAGTAATTGTTTTTTATGTGATGGCGTTTGACAGGTTACAAGAAGAGCAGAAAAGACTGCAAGAACAACAAGAAGATCTCTTAAAGAAACAAAGAGATCAGCAAGAACAGCTGCTTATGCAGCAATACAACCAGACCCAGTCCCTACAGCTACAGCAACAGCAACTTATGCAAATGCTGGCCACCAATCAACAGCCAAAGAAAGACCAAGCAGTAGAGACTGACAAAACTCATGATTCCTCACCAAAACGATCACCAAGACACTCTTCAAGTACCTCTCCAAAACGATCGCCTGTTCCTTCTCCTAGAAATTCAAAACCAAGCTCTAAAAGGTCGTCACCCAGGCCATCGCGTCCATCCTCAAGCAAGAGGTCGAGTAGAAAGCCTTCCACTTCCGGTGAAAACGTCGACGTCAGTGCCAGTGATACGGACAGTTCTTCATCCGACGAGTCCGACGCCTCGTCCAAGGCATCAGCTAAAAATGGCCATGATAATGTTGATGGTTCTAAGAAACCTGATGCTGGGGAAGAAGAAGGTCCACCGAATATCCAATTTCATATGTCAGATAATAACGAGGCGTGTTTACTAACAAAGGGATCCCATGGATTACTTATATGTAAGTTATCGTGTTTTATTCACTTCTTATCGTTTGGCCTGCGGAGCGGCTAAGCTCGGCTATTTATTTTTTGATTTTTGCAATCACGGTCAAAGAACCCTTTATTCTCATGATTCGTTTGTTCATCCATTTAGCAAGGGGCTCCTGGCTGGTCTTTTCTGTCGCCGCGATGGTTCTCTGTTTAATTTCTGTTCTAAGTCTATATGTTCTTCAAGTTTGTAAGCCAATGGAATGGAGCAAATAACACAAAATGTCTCTTTGTCTAGTAACTATTTTGTCACTCTCTCAAAATAAATAGTATTTACTTATTTACTTGTTTGTTTATCCTATTTGTTTACGTTTTGTTATAGCTCGTCTTCCTCCAGATGTTGACCCAGCCATCGAGACACGACACGTCCCGAAACAAATCAGTGAAGGAGAAGAAGTCCTTGCGAGATGGGCAGATGAGGGATGGTATTACAGAGGTACTACCAACTTGATTCGATTGACTCACCACTATTCAAATTACTTTGGGTCCAATCCAATTTAGTTGTTGTTGTTCTTGTAGCTTTCAGTGATCCCAGAACGCCATAATCGTCTTTTTTGTTTTTCTTTTGTCTTTTTTGATAATCTAATACATCGTTGCTCGTTATCTTGTCATGATCTTGTTGTGTTCAGGTACTCGTGGGCTGTTGTTGTATTTTTGTTTTGTGTTAAGTATAATATTGGTATTTCCAGGTACTGTTCGACAGGAGTGTGGCGATGGTACGTTCTTCATCGAAGACAGTGTTGGTGATCTTGAACAGATCCCAAGGGTTGATATCATAACTGATGAAGATGACGCCGATAATGTTATCAAGGTAAAGACGGCGCGAGAACACGTTATTGTGGTGGATTAGGAAGACTAGTTACCATTTGAATAATTGCTTATGATTTGTTTTCATTTCAGGAAGGTGATCCCATCGTAGGCTTACATCCAAGCTTCTCTTACAGTTATGCACCAGGTAAATGAAATGTTTTCCGAATGAAACTATGTTTCGCAAAATATCTTTACAAAAGAAATCAGGGTCTTAGCCAATTGACATCCACATGCAAATGTATCACAATAGAAAATAACCTATAAACTGAACTGTTAGGTGTGGTGATTAGCCTTGAGGATGATAACATGCATCAAGTTCGCTATTATGATGGTATCGAGGCCATGGTTCCCAGAGAAGAGCTATACATGTTACCACCAGAGAAGTTCGAAGCTGACTGTGCGTATATCTTAGCATGTGAAGAAAGTCTTGTTGGCCAGGCAGTGGTGGCCAGGAATGATAACGATGGTACCTTTCACCTCGGTACGTTTCTTCATCTTTTTTTTCATTTTACGTCTGGTAAAGCAAAAATTCGGACTCCAGGTTGTCAATGTGAATATTCTTTGTTTCAGGGACAGTCCGAGAACGTGTTGGTAATGGTCGTCAATACATCATCGAATGGGCGGACCAGTCTGTACAACTACAGGTTAGTGTCCAGCTCAGGACTTTTAACTGACTTTACATTCAAAAGGGCATCAGTGAAGATACGATACGTTATCGCGCACAAGAGTGAAACACTACGCATGCGCTCTTCCATTTGGCTAGCACTCATATGGAAGAACTATGTTGATTGTTGCTTATCAACTAAGCAACTGCCAATCAATCAGTTTATCGACCAATCAATCTCTAGCCAACCATCAGCCATCAACCTATTATAATTTTATTCCATCGTCAGAGCTCTGGATACATCTTTGGTGCGCATACCAAACGACATCCGCTGTCAATTGGGGACCGTGTGCTCGCGCTCGCAGATCCAGGTACGGCACTATTAATAAACATTGGGACCACGCTTACACGATCAGTTTTGTGAAGTCTTTGTTCTGTTCCTTGCCTCCTTCTGCAAGTTTCGCTGGTTTTCCCTCCCTTACTTGTACGAGTTGAGTGAATATGCAATCAAAATACAAATGTAGACAGAGTGTGACAGATGGTACACCTCGGTGAATCTTGAAGTCTGAATAAAAACAGGATGAGAGAAATACAGGATCCGTAACATTTTTTTCTATTTTGCATAGCATGCGACTTCATCTTTTACCAATTTAACAGCTAGAATCCATTGTATTGCCTCCAATGGAGCTACCTATTTGAGGGCCTATTGGAGACTTGATCTAGCATGCTATATGATTCTCATTCTTTTCTTTTTCAGCGACGTACGTTTATGTGCCTGGTTGGATCACAGGATCTAATGGACGAAGGCTTGTCGTCAAATTTTGTAACGGAAAAAGGTATGCTTAGTACAATGTCTGCATTATAGCAGTATAACATTCTAACTGGTTGGTATCGCTCTATTCATAGCTCAAGTCACGTGGATCCCCTGCAATGTTTCTGGCTATCACGTGATTACTTTGATCGAGTGGTTGAATTTTACAAGAAGCGAAAGGGACAAGACGAACAAAGCTAGGGAAAGAAAGCCAGTCAACCTAACGTTGCTTTTATAACGCCCTTTAATTCGATAAATACTCTGTAAAGATTGCAAAAGATTTATAAAATGTAAATGGAATTCTACATTCAAAGGTCAATCTCAATACATCTTTATTCTGGGGAGAGGTTGGCATTTCACTCGAAATGATTAAGGATTTCACGATGAAATGTGTATTTTGATAGAAAATAAAATAATTCTAACCAAAAAGCCGGACGCTTCTACGATAGGAATGGGATTTCTGTGTTTTCGAATGTTGCAAGTGGTTGCGGACTCGGAAAGCGGACTATTTTCAGTGTCTTCACAATTAGAGAATTTGGAAAAGTTTTTTCAACTCGATCATCAGCTGCCAGTCGCTCTTCTGCAGATCTTCCCTGAAGTATTCTTTGACTGCGTTGATTGATTCACGGCTTATCTGAAAGACAACACGTCCCTACTGTTATCTCTTTGAATGTATTATAGGAACTTAACGGAAAAATGATTTTGAAAGAAATAAAGGGAAAAATAGGAAGTGAATTTTGAATCTTCTCGATTCAAAGACATTCAAAGAGTCATCTAATCTGATGTTGTTAATGAACAACCAACATGGCTGCCATGAAGCCTACCGAGATGAAATAATTATGATAAAATACATAAAAAATGTGTTTACATGCGGGCCTGTTGTCTGACTTACTTTGCTGACAAGGAGGTCTTCATGATCAAAATGTCTTCCATATAGTTTAGGTGTTTCGCCAGGAATGTTCTCTATCTTCAGACAAACCTCCATTCCTTTACGTGCTTCCGTGATGTTCTTGTGGTTGGTTTCGATACTCGATACCACACCTACGTCAATAAACTAGAAAAAGAAAAAAACCGATCTAACATCGTACCAAACGGCCTATGTCAATAAATCAAATCGACAGTTTTATCTTTTTAAGATTCGAGTATTCTTAAGAGGTACTTTTGAAAAATCTTCGACTATCATACCCTCATACATACAATAAATAATATTTCTGACCCTTCCCCCGATCACGCGGGCTTCATTGCACCACATACAATTACTTCAAGACCTACACTCTTAGACGGTACACAGATCGGCGTTCCTTCCTTAACAATACCAGCTTCTATCGACACACCAACAATGATAGGATCTCTTGAATTAAAGATGTGCTGAGGTAAAATACGCAGTTTACAAGGGAACACGGCGATATTTTTGAATTCGTCTCTCTTCTTGCGCTTTTGCTCCTATTGATTCAGATATGTAAAGAGTGTTAAATATATAAATAGAAATAGTATTCATAGATATGCGATATCTAAAGATATCTATGGAAACTTTACAAAGGAAAGTCATGCTAACGCCCTAGTCGGCGATCAAGTGCAAACACTAAATACATGAAAAAGCTTTCGTAATTTTAATTTTATTTAAAAATATTGCTAAATTGTACTAAATTGTGCAAATTCCTTTGTTTTCTATTATGTAATGTACACTATATTGCGATAGCAAATACTTTTTCACGCTTTTAAAAGTGGGCTAGCAAATTATATCGTTTCTTCGACCCTGTTTACATAAGATAGGGTGCCCCTACGCGGTAGGGCTAACTCTGGGTCTTAGGTGCATTTAACATGAAATAGTCGTTACACTAAATCCGAGGGAAAAAACATACCTCTCTGTACTCTGTAAATTTATCAAACAAATGATAGATGATTTCTGCTGAGAAAACCTTAATACCAAGACTGTCGGCGAGGTCTTGAGCTTCTCTTTCGATCTTGACATCAAATGCAAGTATAACAGCATACCTGAGAAAACACGACGCCCGTGAACCCCGAATCGCATGGCCAACACTACTTATAATACATAATGCATGACACAAAAGTAACTTACTGAACTTCGTGCTCCAGCATGATAGAACATTTCATGACATCTTTCTTGTGCACAGGGCCAATATTCACACCAGCATACTAAATATAACAATAAATTACAATAAATTTCCTTTGTTTATCACTATTGAACTTCTGCGTTTCATTTAAACTTACCGGAATTTTAGAAGTTTTCAAAAATTCTAAGAGAGCTTCAAGTGAGCCTAGAGTTGAGGCCTGAACATAAACGCCTCTGTCGGACAGACGAATAGCCTTCAGTGCATCGGACATTATCTTTGATACTTCATTCTATACAGATAAAACAAGAAAATGGATGAGCGGATGAAAGAAAACTGAAGAAAGCAAATCTTGCACAGCGCGACTCGGGAGAACCATGAAAGGGCGATCAAATAATCACAAAAGATCATTTACCTTACAATAATCGATCTCATCTTCTTTCTCGGCTACCATTATGGGTACACCAGCAAGCGCCTTTTCTAAGTCCTTCGCAGCAATCTTGACACCCTGAGCAGCCCGAAGCTCTTTGTGTGTGACATACTGATTTTTAACACGAAGTTCTTTGAGAGGTTGAGGAGTAAGAAGGGCTCGTATCTGTGTAACTATAGGACCTTCAATACCAGACAGAACAAGAGTATCGCCTTCTCTCAACGTACCATTTACCAGGATTACATCAACGGTTGTTCCAAGGCCAGGAAGAGCTTTGACCTGTGCCAGCAAAAATGAGTCAAAGAGATCAGACGACTTGACATAAATAAAGACTCACGGCGGACAAAAGAAGTTATCCCACCTCTAATACAATGCCATCAAGGTACTCAGAGAATGACAGTTTCTCTGGAAGTCTAGTTTGAGTAAGTTCTACAACTTGTGAGATGAGATCACCCATCCCATCACCTGAATGAGCAGATGTGGGAATCAAGGACACGTACGATCTTGTATCCTTATTGTCGTAGTATAGTGTTGCATTCAAACCCTGTAACACAAAGAATTTAAAAAGCATTAGCTACAAGTATAGATACCTGGCTATATCTTGGTATGCTTATATCATATCTTTAAATCTATTGATATAACTTTCAATGACTTGACGTACTTGTTCAGCAAACTCCTGGATGACTATTTTCACTCTCTCTTCAAATTCTTGCTTAGTGTGTCGTTTCTGTTTTCGTATTGTGTTCATGATGCTCGAATCTGGTCCTCGTTTCCATTCAAACAAGCGGTCAACCTAGAAATGAATCAAGATAATCCATCATCCAGATCACAAACGAAAAACCTTTTGTATGGAAATTTGCAACTGGCAGAAGTTTAATACAATCCAACTATTTCAATCTATTCGTTATATGTCAAAACAAAACAAAATGTTCTTGATATCGGTGTAATACATTACAGTCAAATCATTTCCTACCTTATTTAGTGCTACAACAAAAGGTGTCTTTTTGGCTTTGAGAAGGTTAATGGATTCTATAGTTTGAGGTTCCAAGCCATGCATAATGTCAACTACAAGTATAGCCATGTCACACAGAGAGGAGCCTCGATTACGAAGGTTACTGAAAACACAGAATATGTAATTCAGAGGGGGTCCCATAGTAATGTTACATGACCGAAAAATGTGTTCGAAAAAAAAGAGGATGACCTTCCGATATTCTCGGTAAGCGCCGTTTTTAAAATTATGCAGTTATGTTTTATCAAAGTTGCACAGCAAAAATATTGCCATATGAATCAAGTGTGTGAAATAAACTGTTGTTGTTGTTTTCACCTGAAAGACTCATGCCCAGGTGTATCTATGATGAGAAGGCCTGGTATTTTCATGTCAAAATCTTGAAACTGTAAAACAAAATCACACAGAGGTTGACAAGAATGATGTGAACATTGTGCATCATGCAATAGTTACCACTACATCCAGGCTTAGTATTAAAAAACAATACAAACTCACTTCCTTCATCATGGAAGTCTGTTTTCTAATTGCATCTGGAGGGACCATAGTTGCTCCAATTTGCTGTGTGATTCCACCAGCTTCACCATCTTGGACATGAGTATGTCGAATCTGCAATAACAAAGAGCTCCCATAATGTTTAGGTTTATAGCAGGTATTGCAATTCAAGGGTCAAAAATGAATCTAGTCAAATAGTCTGCATGACCACTTTCTCCCATCATTACCTTGTCAAGAATCTTAGTCTTTCCAGTGTCAACGTGACCAAGAACACAAATTACTGGTGATCTCAAGTGATCTGGGTTACGGTTTAACTCTGCCTGCACTTTCCGTTTCTCAATTCTTTCTTCAACAGTTTCACTTTTTGATGTGTCCTCCTCTGATTCTGATTCTTCCTCCTCGTCTTCTTCATCTTCCTCCTCCTCGTCTTCTTCATCTTCTTCTTCACTACTGCTCTCCTCTGTCTCTTCACTGCTACTTTCATCAGGTTTTGATACTTCATCTGTTTCTTTGGTGATGGTAATATCTAATTTAATCAAAAGACTAGAACCATTATCATCACCACCATTTATTCCTATTAAAACTATTGCTATGTCACATTAAATCATTATCCTCACTATCATCATCTTGATAAAACCCTTCATTGATGTTTTATACTTGTAAACTCCATTTAAAACATCCTTGACAACACCATCTTCATTGTAACTTTTCTTAATCATCACATTCACCACTATCTACACTAGTATCATCAGTAGAACCATCATTGATATAAAACCAAATAATCACCTTTCTCTTCTTTTTCATCATCTTTTTCATCTTCACTGTCAGTTCCAATGTCCCAAGCATCTTTGACCTAAATAATACACAAGTTATATGTGAATTTTGCAAACATTCATCAAAATGTTGATAATTGTTGCAAACCTCTTCTTCTTTTCCCTTGTTTGACTCCTTCAATTCTTTACCAGGCTCAAGACTGTTGTCTTCTTTTGATTCTAATATTAACACACACAAAACATTCATACTCCATACCCTCTCCTAGCTAACAATGATTTCATATAGCCTGTGTAGCGGCCCTAAGGGGATTGGGGAGGGCCGGATGAGCAAGGAGTGGGGAGTGGGGAGGAAAAATAGGAAGGGCCTGCAACAGAAACCCACAGTTTTACAAAATCTACACTGGAATTTGGATGCAAATTCCCCATTGTTCGAGAGGGACAAGCTGTCAATCAAATGTCAAAGTGATAGATACCAGATCAAATTGCCATATTTAGCAACATGGCAGGCAATGAAGAAGGATTTCGTAGTCAGTTAGAGCTTGTTTTTTTAAAAGTGATTTAAAAGAAAAAAGTTTCGATATAATAATCAAGGAAAAACGCGACAAGCTTTGGCCTGGACTTTGGCCTGGACTTTTTCCTGTTGGTGTTAAGAATTTTAAGAAAAATTTTAGAACAATCTTTAATAGTACCGGGAAACTGTGGCACTTCTTTTGCCAGAACTTCGTAGAATTTACAAAATATGTTTGCCTTTCTAGCATAAGGGAAACAGATGTTATCTTCAACAATCGGCGCATACAGCAAACTGAAACTTTTGATCTCACGACCTCATACTGACAGCGCTTCATTATAGGTTTATTTTGACAACGATCAAGTTAGATTTTCCAGGCTTTTGAATTACTAATTAGGGGGCATTTTGTAAAACTGTGGGGTTCTCTTGCAGGCCCTTCCTTTTTCTCCTCCTTATTCCCCGCTCGTCCCTCCCAAATCCCTTAAGGGCCTCTATGCAGGCTAATTTCATACTGATATGTACATATTATCTATCATATTACATACAGCCTTTTGCAAAAATTATGAGAAAATATCTAAATATCATAATATCCATATCCATATATTGTCCGGAACACGCAGGTTTGCTAGAATAATTCATTGTTGACATCGAGAAAATGTTCAGAACTACTGATAAGTCTGTCGCCAAAAAAAATAAACTACAAAGACAAGGGACTAAGGGCATCGCACGGGTTTACCCATCATGCACTCGATATTATGATATTTAGATATTTCGACAATTCTCATAATTTTTGCAAAAGGCTGTATCATTATCTTAATATATATATACATTCACATAATAACTGTACCTTCATATTCTTGCTCTTTGTCTTGTTCTCTGTCTTCTTGCATTTCAACATCTGAATTCAGATAGATTGAAATAAGAGTCAATGAAATGCAGAGATATAGATATTTAAATGTTGTGGTTTATAATAGTAAGACTTCTATAAGAGTGGATACCTTTAACTTCTACTTCATCTTGTTGTTGTTGTTGTTGCTGCTGCTGCTTATTTTTGGGTTTCTTAGAGCCATATCTTACTGGCTTTCTGATAACATCTTGACTTTGGTTGCTTAATGCAGGGATTTCAATACCTTAACACATGATATCAAATTCATTAATAATTAATAAGATGAACACAAATCATTGGAAAATCATTGATAATGAATGACATCTTATCTTGAATTTTTTTACAAAATATGCTTTAGTTTATGTTGGAATTTATTAGCTTTGCCCCTAGTATGGGCAGGGACAGGCAGCGTGCGCCAATTACTGCGGATCCTGTACTCTCACGCTCACTACCTCTACATTAAGTATTTTAGCACACAACACTCCTCGCATGTTGATTTTTGGACCCAGAGAAAAACCCTTGTGGCAAGGGAGAGAACAACACATCAAAGGTACATAAAGGTCTCCTGCTGATATTTTATAATTATATTATTAAAGAATTAAACTAATATTACCTAGAGTTCATATATGTAAAAATGTACCTTGTTGTCTCAGTGCTTCCAAATGTGCTTGCTGCTTTGCTTTCTGTTCTTTTTGTGCCTTAGTAAGAAGTTTGCCTTCCTTGCGTTGTCTTTCCTTTCTCTCCTACAGTAAAAAAGGGTTAATGGATACTAGCATATGATAACTATATTCAGAAACTATATTCCATTAGGATCAGAAAACAGACCATAGAAAATGACATTTCCAAGCTGAACCTATACAAATGGGTTACTGACTCTTGAACAAACCTTTTCTTTCTGTTTTCTTTTCTGTTTTCTTTCTTCCTCAAGACGAAGCTGAAATCATTATAGGAAATTCAAAATGTAAGCAATTTTACTTGCAGTAAGCTAACAGAACTAGTGACCAAATTGGACGCAAACAACAAAATTCACATTTCTTCAAATTCCTTCCTTTCTTCCTAAATGATGAGTGTGTACATGTAAGCACAAAACTTGGAGTAACAGCAAATCTTGCCTCTCTGTTATCATATATATCATCTAACTCTGATATAAGTTCAATTTAATATTATGTTTATTTTTTATTTCTTTTCGTTAGAACCATATTTTAGGATTGATAAACTTTCCTCAGAAAACATAAAAAAAATTCCTTTATGTGCAATTTCTGACTGGAAAATTAGTAAACATTATTGAGTCAGCCTACTTTTTCCAGTCTTCGGTTCTCTGCTTCCTCAAGTGCACGAAGCTTTTCTTCTTCTTCCTTTTTCTTGCGCTCTTCTTCCAGTCGAAGTGCTTCTAGCTGCTGTTGCATCTGCTTAACAAGAGCTTTGTTAGGCTTTTTGACTTTCTTTTCTTCCTCTTCTCCAGCTTTCTTTTTCTTTTTCTTCTTTTTCTTCTTTTTATCATCACCACCTTCTTCCTCTTCTTCACATTCCTCCTTGCCTTCAATTTTGTTCTCTTCTACAAGTTTATCATTTTGCATATCTGTTTTAGGTTCTTGGTCTGCAGCTGTACTTGGTTCTACTGTTTTATAGATAAATAGAAAAATTAAGAGAGAAAATATTTGAACTAAAATAAAAATTCATTTAATTACTTGTGGCACTGCCCAGGCTTCTTGTTCTAGTAAACATGGACATGTGATAATAAAATTAGCAGCTTTTTTATATACACTCTTAAAGTTCAAATATCTCAGCTCCCAACAGAAAACAAAAAAAGGTGAAAAGTATAGACTGTTACTGGACATGAGTACTCTGTGCTGGGTCAAGTGAAGTTCACTTTTGTGTCACAATTATAAAATGTATTCAAATTTGTGGCTAACTTATAGAGTAGTTTCCTTCGCAGCCTCCCTTTTGTCCGGCTTCCTGCCCCTCCCCAAAAAGGAGACTATATGGAAAGATTCTTAGCTAGACCACAACACCACTTCTACACCACTAATTATTCATGAATTGGCAACAACTTTTTTCCATACCTTTTGCACCCTCTTCAGTCTTTTCACTGTCAACTACTATCTCCTGTGATGGTGTTTCATTGATTTCTAATTCTTTATCTTCATCAGGTTTCGCAGCCTTTTTGGCCTTTTGCTTCTGTTTTTCTTTCTCTAATGCCTTCTTCTTCCTTTCTCTTTCCTTTTTCTCAGCTCGTTTCTGAGCTGCAGTTTTAACAATTGGACCATTTTCATCGTTATATTCATCATCCTTCACGTCATTATCATTTATTGTTTCTGTGTTTGCTGGTTTACTCTTGACTTCTTTCTTATCAGAAATCTCTAAATCATCATCTTCATCAAGATCGTCAATATCAAATTTCTTTTTATTTTTCTTCCCTTTTTTAGCTTTTTTAGACATGGCATCATCATTTTTAACAGAGTCTACAGTTTGTTCATCATTTTTGGCATTATCATCTTGAACATCATCTTCTACTTCAAGAGCATCAAACATATTTTTTGTTTTCTTGTCTTTTTTACTTTTCTTTTGTTCAGCTTTCCCAGAGGCACTCTGATTCTCTGGATCATCTGGTGTTTGTCCCTCCTCTGGTTCTTCATTTTCCAGAGCCATGAATCGACTGTTTTTAGACTGTTGAATAAACCAAAACATACTAGAATCAATTTCATATTATTATAATGACTTGTAAAAATTAGAAATGTAATCTAGAGAAAATGACAAGTTATTTATATAATTACCACAGTAGGAGGATCTTTACTAGCTCCATCAGTTCCATTGTTCATAGATTCTATTTCATTTAAAACATCATCCTCCCTTAAGAGAAAATATAGAAGTGAATCATGAATTTACATCTTTTTTATGTATATGTATTTGGTGTGTATATAACAGTACAATAATCATACAAACAGTCAACCTTTCGATATATATTTTTTTTGTAGAAGTTTGTGACTTTGAAGTCACAATATCTTTATGTAGCACAGATTTTACGCTTTTTTTCTGTGGTGATGGACATATGTTTACTGTTTTATTTCAAATTCCAGGCAATCATGAGTATCTGTACTCCCTTATCAATAATATTGAATTGAAAAGTGAAAAACTAAATGTACATAAAGAATGAATGGTATAAATATTTTTATCCATTCACTTCTCCATTTCGATGCTATCAAGGAAAACAAGTACTTATAAGATAAAAGGAAAAGGAGATTGCTCACTTGTAACGAGAAAATAAAAGAGTCTCATGAGGTACACATAGATTTCATGAAATATTTGAAATAAAATACTCATTATAGAATGAAATACAATGGATGAATTCCTATATTTGATACCTCAATCACGCATTTCACTAGAAAGCGACCACCATCACAAAAAATGTTGATAAAAGCTTAATGATATTAAAAAGAACGAATGTTCAGAATCCATTCCTTGGTTTGCACCCTAAACACATCCGAACACTTACCAATCATCATTTGCCTTCTTCCTGGCTCCTTTCTTTGGTTTCCCCATTGTTAATTGTGTTATCTAACTAAAGGTAAAACTACTCTATTATTTTGAAATATTTCTGAAATATAACTTAAGCTTAATTTCGATTTCTGGTTTCTGTGATGAAGTTGATGACTCGTCGAATTAAGGCAATTCAAAGGAAATGTCATTGAAAAACAGTTTAGTTAACAACAAGTATGGTTTTTAGATTACTGATAAATAAGGAAACGAATTGTCTTCCTTAGAATACTCTCGGAACACAAATGAAAGGTAGTTCACCACGTTAGAATTTTTACATTGAACCACACAATCTATTGCACATGGCGACCATGAAATACGTCATTGAAGGAAATAATTTTTACTTCCCCCTCCTCCCCCCACAGAACACAGAACGATATGTTGGGCTTCCTTTGGTTTGCCTTGGAAACAAAAATGGCGGGCGATACTAGTAAGAGACATAAAGAGAAAGACAAGCTATTTGAAAACTTTGTTGCCACTGCAATATAGAACCACTGAATTAATGAATTTAAATATTTTCTTATAAGCATGTAAATTTGTACAAAAACATGAATTCAGTTACAGATTCAGACGAAATTCAGTGGCTGACTGAAGTTTTGCAAGACTCGTCCCTTTTCACAAAACTTAGGAAGGATTTACAAGTAAGCTTACATTTTTTGCCTTGATAACTTTTAATCATATATGAAGGAGATTATACGGTGAATTCACCAGTAGAATCTAGTGGTCGGACGTTTAGGAGCGGGCAATTTTCCTCGCCAAGATAACTGCATAGCAACATTAACTGCCTTAACAACTTTTAAATAAAATCTCAATATATAAGCTTACTGTCTTCTGCTCGGCCACTCCTTACTTAACTTCAATGAAAACTTATATATCAAATGCTCATCTCAGTTTGTATTTTGTTTTGTGTGTGTGTGTTTCCTTTTTTCAATCATTCTTCTCCGTATTTACTCGAATAGACGCCGCCCTCAAATAGACGCCGCACTTAAAGCTCAAAATTTTAATAGACGCCGCCCCCGAATAGACGCCGCATCTGGGTGTGGCGTCAATTTGAGGAAATAATGATACCAGCAATGGGAATTTATTTTCTTTTAGAGCATTTTTTATTTCGAAGTGACTGCACTTTGTGCTCTCAGCAGTTGTAAGATTCCGACCATGAGGAGGACATTGATGTTGAAATAGAAGTTTAACTCTGGTTAAAATCTTAAATTGAATAGACAAAATGAACATGACATTTATATTTGAGATTCGTTACTGTTTGTAAGTAAATAGATACAATATAAAAGTACGGTATGTAGTACTGAATAAAGTGTCTTTTTAATAAACGCCGCCCTCGAATAGACGCCACCCTCAAATAAATGCCGCAGCTGGTTCGTGAAAAATATAATAAATGCCGCGGCGTCTATTCCAGTAAATAATATGTTAATATTCTGTCCATATTATTTTGTTCTTTTATATTGGTACTCTCATCCATTTGCTTGACATATTCAATCGTCATTCCTCCATACTTCAGCCTTTATTAATTATTCAGAGATAACATTTCTTTCTAACTGCTTTTCTTGTCTTTGTAGAGAGAAGTTTCGAAGTCTTATGTTCCTTTAAATCAAAATGATATGAAGAAGAGCCTAGAGAAATACATCAAAGACTCTGGATGGGATATTACTCTACAAAATGCTGTTTATAGAGAAATCAAAGTGTATGTTGAGAAAATTATGTGAGATATTGGTGTGCATAAAGAATTATATTGTATATCAAATTATTATTCCACAGCAATCCTATTCCAAAATTAGATACTCCTGACTTTGCTGCAAAAGAGCCACTGCAATTTATTAGGAAGGCCCAGGTCAGTGTGATCCAGTGTGTGTCAAAAATATTGTGGATTTTGTTCAACCTTATATTCAACTGGATATAGTTCAGATTACAAGTTATACTGCTTTCTAGGCTACTTGGGAGAAAAGAATTGTTAAAAGCATCAATAGCATGTGTACAGAACTTAGTCTTCCTCTTGCTACAAAGGTAATTTCATTTCATCCAGTTTTTGTCCATCTTGTATTTTTAGGTCTGATTAAGTACAATTTTCATTTAACTTATGAAAATATTTCGCTATACATAATATCTTATTTATAGCGTTCTGCAGTAGAACAAGCAAGCATATCATCAAAGTTTCAGACTCTTGGAAGTGATCTAGATGAGAAAGGTATAGCTGATCATTATGTCTCTGATCAACACAGTCTTTAATTAAAGAGTATGGCATGGAGTCCAGAGACTGGGTAGGGTCTTTCATCTCCCCGTGTCCCTGTAGGAATATTGTAACTACTGATTTAGCCTCTACCCATTCAAGCAACTCTTTCTTCCTCCTTGAGGCTCCCTCAGTCTGACTGCCAGCAAAAAGACAGGAAGCCCATGACTCTTAGTGATGACTGTGAAGGAGGCCACTGTTGAGCAGGCAGAACGCATATTATTTTTATAGAAAATGCGATAGGTCAGCCAGGCAGGCAGATGGTCCCTTGCTAAGTTAGTTATTAATTGGTTGGTTGAAAGTTGAAGGTCAAGTTTTCATATGATGTTTTGTTAACATAATCCTATAAATGAATTAGAGTTTGAAAGAATAAAGCCTGTATATGCTCCTAAAGACTTCTTTGAGGTAATGCAACTTTTATCATTTTGTACTAAGAAATATTTTTATTCCTGACTGAATGTTGATTTATACTTTAGGCATTGATTGCTGTTGAGAATTCAAACTTTGTGCCACTTCAAAAAACTCCTAGGTTTGTTTAGCATCCTATTCTGCATTAATCATATTTCCTTAGGATTAGCTACATTCTAATATCATACTATACAGTTTAACATAAATAATTACAAGAAGTTAAGACATCCATTTAAAAGTACTGGAAGTAAATCAAGAGACCTTTCCCAAAATCACATGACTGATAGGTTGAAGATATAACTATTACAGTATTACCCATTCTCTTCTTGTATTGAAACAAAAATGAGAAAAAAAAGAGATAGGAGATTGAATTTAAGAAATAAAAGAAATAACTCTCTCTCTTCGTATTGCTATATGGTTATCAAGTTTTGTTCTCTCTCTCTCTTCGTATTGCTATATGGTTATCAAGTTTTGTTCTTGTTACTGTGTTCATCTTTATGATTGACGTGTATCTTTACAAACCACTGTTCTAAGTTTTTCGTTTGCTTCAGTTCCATTAAAGGATGGGGTTTGATTCAAGTCAACCTTTATGCAAAAAGTTTAGATGAACTGGTATGTTAAATGCATGTTAAGTCTGTATTGGATATCTTTTTCATGACAATGATTGTCTATATAATGATCATATCTTCAACAACCATGATGATAATCATTATGATCAAAAAAATACAATTTTTAATGAATGACATTGATATTGGGTAGAGGTGTGAATACCAAGAACTTGATCCAGGCTTAAATCAATGTGGTGTAGATGATGCGCCAAGCAGTTCAACAGTCGGTAAGTAAGTTTTGAAATAGAAGAAATGTCACTCTTTGTTTTATCATATTTGATCATTTATGCATCAAATCATGCTTTCCATAATGTGGAATTAGAACTTATAACATTGTTAAACACTGTTCTCCTCCTCAGTCTCATAAATATTGTATCATGAATAATGTACAATACAGACCACTGAAAAAATAGACTAACATTGTTTTCAGATGTATTTGAAAGTGATTGGCCTAAACTAGGAAAGAAAGGTAAGGTCTGATGACTGTTGAATACCAAGAAGCATTTAGTAATGATTCCTAAACAAATATTCAATTATGCTGAGTGCTGGATTTATGAAGCATTTCATTTTGACCATTTTTGCTCAGTTATTCAGAATGGAAGTGCAATTGCTGCTCGTCAGTATGCAAAGAATGGCTGCCCATCAGGTTTACGAGGCCAGATTTGGCAACAGATTCTCTGTTTAGATGTTGATGATGTGGTAAGACTATGATCTGATATTATAATACAAATTATAAGTGTAATGTGTTACTTCTAAATAATGTTCTTCACTTTGAAGGATCTGCTATATTTCAATCAACTCAAGACATATGTCATTCAACACAAAATGCTGGTTGATAACCTAGTTATGAAGGTAAACTATGACTATTATTTTAATTTTTTCAGCAATTAAATGATCATTGTTTTCAGATATATAAATTGTTTCTGATAGTCTGTACAAACAAAAATATCTGATAAAGCCTTTATCATGAGGATACCATGATAACCCAGGAATCTGAAGATTTTGAGACAAATCTCCCAGTCTCTTTCATTTCCTTTTTTTAGAAAATGGCAAAACGTTCAAGCTTTTGAAGTAAATTTACCAAAAAATGGGACCTGATTCGTGCAAAAATTACCAAAGTTAAATGTCAATGGTCTGGAATGGGGTATTTTTTGGTTCGGCATTCGAAAGATTGAAACAATGGTGGATTTTTATCGATCTAAAGATATGAAATTGTCTGGGGTTGACAGCCCCTAGTCTCCTTCGCATCGAGGGACAGGAAGCCTGAAACGAAAACGGATGCGAAGGAGACTAAACAGCCCCATGTTGTTGAAAGGTTTAAAAAAATCCCATGTGTCATGTGTCCATTATCATGGGACAGAGACTTGTCTGGGTTATTCCTTACATGTGTCATTTACCATGATTGATAGGATATCCGAATGACAGCAACCAATGATGATGATTACTTTGTATTTGAGGACCTGCTATATCAGGTTTGTAATACTTATAATATAACCCACAGATAACTAACTTATTGAAACAAAGGTTTACTGTAAGACTTGAGCACAAAGAGGTGTAGACAGCTCTAACAAAAAATAACAGTTGTAGGTTGAGCTTTGTTAACTCACAACCATTGAAATCATTTGGATTGCTCTGTAATAACACAGACAGTACAGTTAGCAGTAGACTTCTGTAAATGCAGACAGTAGTATGGCACAACTAGCTGGTTAGTTGACTTACAGCAGTCTGTTTCTAATAAAATTACATACACTACATTACTCTTGACTGCCTACATAGCAATGCAAATGTCCGATAGGCTGACTTAGAACTCAAAGCATCAGTCTTATTTGGGGATTGCTGTTTAGAGAGAAATATTTACAAAATTGAAAGAATTCTTGTGCCCTATACATCCACGATCATCAAAAAGTAAAACTAAGTAAAGTATTATCTATCTATTTACATTTGATTTTGTCTCTGGCACAATAATATTATAAAATTCATCATTAAACACAATTGGCAGTAATTTCCCTTCAGACCGAAGGGCACTCATCTTCTTCTTGAATTCCCCCAGTTTCCTTCTGCAGGCTCTTTCAATATTTTTAACTGATGAAGCTCTTTTCATGTCTTTGACTATCATTTCATACTCTTGTTTGTCAACAATGTGTAGTTCAGCTATACCAATCATATCCCTTACCGTACTTCGTGGAATCCCTGCTATTTTATAAGCCTGACGATTACTGCAACCCTCTTTTTTAACAACTTCTAGTACTCGTTGGTAACGTTCGTGCACATGAATCAATGTGTTTCTAGTAACTTTAAAGGGAGAAGTGTGTGGAAATGGCTTGCTATTCTCAATTTGTGTTATACTCTTTATCTGCCTTATTTTACTATATTGACTTGTATGAGCCGAGACGTCACTGCAAGAAGTTGATTTGCCATCATGATACAGGTGTAATTTAGTCTCTTTGCTGCTAGTTGGTGATGATCTCAGTATTTCTTTGCCGTCTTCGGTCTTTCGGGCCTTTGTCTTCTGAGTCGACGGTGCTTGTGGTGAAGACTCGTTCATGAAGTCTCTTTTTCTCTTTACAGATTCTTGATCCAATGTCTTCAGTTTTGCATTGTCAGCCTTCAGGACCTTTATCTCCTCATCCTTTGTTTCAAGGAGTTCCCTGAGATAAATAATTTCGACTTTTTTCTCCTCTAGCTCTTTCAATAGGGCAGTCATTTCGAAATTCTCGGTTGTGTAGATTACAAACGGATCCTGTTGGTCGGCCATCATTTACTATTTACTTTAGACTGCTTCTTCCAAAATGTTCTTTGCATAATCGAACGTATTTCGAATTAAAAAAAGAACGTTTACCTCGCTTTTTAATAAACCAGCGTATGCCAAAATGAATTTGTCGGCCGACCACATACCGACAAATCATGTTTGTTACCGACTGTTTGCCGACCACAAGCTGACACAAACGATCTCGCTAGACTGCAGACGCCATAAATGGCCGACCACAAACCGACAAAGCCAAGTACAGCTAATGTAAACTGTCACGTATTCTACTTAATCAGAAAGCGTGACGTGGTACCTGTCACACAATGTATTTTACTTTCTTTTCGACTTTTTTATTAGTTAACTTTGGATTTCAGGCACTTTTAGTATTCACGAGGGATACTGCTGTCCTCAGACATTTCCATACAACATGTGCAAACCCTCCCAAGTCATACATCAAAGGTAATTTGCTGTTGCTTTTACATAATAATGTTGGATGTTTTGTTTTTTAGGCCCTAATATCGAAACATGAATTAACTATGATTTTATTCCACCCATTTAGGAAAACTCGGAGTTCAAGAGTATGCTGTGTTACATCCACCAAATGGTAACATTAATTGGTATTTTTTAAATGGTTTTTTTGTAACCTCTTTTTTTATTCCAGGTGTGATTCCATTTCATGGATTTTCTATGCACGGTAAAACACATTTTGTCGTCCTATTATGTTTGATCAGTTGAAATCATAGTCTTTTCTTTCCAAAAGCTGCTCCATTGTGTTACATCTGTTCTCATGCTCCAAGGTTATACTTCCTCTTCAGAGAATTGTACACAAGGTGTGTCATTGATCGGCGTTCATTCTTTTAGGGTTTTTATTCGTTTGGTGATTGCTAACCTCTCGGACCTTCAATCATAGCTAATCATTCGTTTGTTGTGTCCATCGTGTTTATTTATTTACTCATTCATTGTCCCTAACCCTAACCCCATGCTAACCCTACTGGGTGCCTACGGTCCATGTTACAATCTTTCTAATTCTCAATGTTTTTTTGAAATCGTTCATGCCTCTTGCCTTTGTGTTGGCCCAGATTAATCTAATATTTGAATGAATTGTAGATATTTCTTCAGATTGCATACTATGTCTTCACATCCACAGGTGAGTCCCTTGTACAACGTTATTCAATCAACAAACATTTTAACCATGTATCTGTCTGTCTATCAGGGTATTATGTCCTTGTGTGTTTTATTCGAAAGACTTTTACAAACACATGAACCATCATTGTTTTATCACTTAAAGAATGTGGGGGCTCCGCCGTAAGTACTGTCATGTATGCTTTAGTTGAAATGCGTTTATTTTGACGTTACGTTTGTCTTGTGAACCTACGGTCTACACGTGATGCCTGTCAAGACAAAAGGTGTCAGTAAAAGTGCATGTCCTCTTGTTTTATGTTGTTTTTTTTGAGGTGCTGCGATATTAACAAGACCTGGTTCACTTGATAGTTTATTGGACTCTACTGTTCACACACGACATCCAATAATATGTTTAGACCAAATCAAGGTTATTTCCGCCATTTGACACAAACCAGTTAACGAAAATTTATCGCCTCCACTGGACAGAACAGCCTAAAATTAGTAAGCCTGCAAAATTTGAAGGTGATGTGTCAAAAACATGGGAAGGTACAGCTTTGCAAAGTCGCGAATTTTTACAGAGAATGTATGAGGGGTTGCAAACTTTTAATAAAACTTTCGTTAACTGGTTTGTGTCGAATAACCTTGGCTTGGTCTATTGATGTGTTAATGTTTCTTAGATTGAGACTCGTGTTCAATTGGATAGTGTACGCGTTTTCTGGCTATCTTTCAACAGATCAGGTCTGTGTTTTCCGCTTTTCTCTGCAAAATAGATATGATCAGAATTTCATGAAAACCCTTGATCTCTACACTGGTGAGGGGGGGGGGGGAAGCGAAGAACCCAGAAAAATATTCGTGATTGGGAATCTTTTAGGGTGCCAATTTGGAGTTCTGCAAATTTAAATTTTCTGAAATCTCTTAGGGTGTTGGAAAAAGAAGAGTAAAAGCACATCGCAATTGATTTTTTTTTCTCTGCGTTTTTATAAGTTAGTGCAATCTCTTAGGGGTTAAAAATCAGTCAGCCACGCCCTTTTTTCAAGACCTCCGGGATCTTTTAGGATCTTTTGGAAACTTTCTGACGAGCATCCACGGTACTTTTACCCTGGAGTGCCAAATCCTCCCTCCCTCCCCCGCCCCTCCCCGGGATAAAACAATGTAAAACAATACTCTTTGTTAGAGTGAAGTAAAAAAAAAACGTGCACAAAACTGTACAAAATCTAAGTAGTACTAACAAAAGTAGACCTAAAGCAAGACGGTATTGAATGCTTCATTTGCATCAATTCAATTTAATTTGCGTACCATATACACTATATTTTCACTAAATTGCAGTTGCACGGTGTAAGTGCGATCACTCTATTAAAGCACTTTAGTAGTTGTTTATTAGTTTTAGTTTTCATTACCAGGTTTTATTGCTATGGGACAGAATCCTTGCCTACGATTCTTTAGAAGTACTACCAGGTAAATGACGATATATAAATGTACGACGACACATCAGTAAATTCATGGAATGTTTCTTCCCGCCAGTGCTCGCCATGGCCATCTTGTCATATCGTCGATGCAATTTAATGGAAGTTACTAATCTGCAGACAGCACAGGTAAGGAAACCATCTTCCGCAGACCAGGAAAAAACCCTACTTACTGTGTCACGTTGTTGCAGTAGAGGTTGGAAAAGGATACTTGTATCTTTCCCTCACAAACAACGTTTCCTGCGAGTTCTGTGTCGATTCTGTGGGCAAATCACTAATAGCTGTAGTCACAATCGCTGGCATATAAAATGACAACACATCGCACGACAATTTGACGCTGTAATTTCTTTTGCTATACCCTTACTTGCCCCGAAAAAAAGACTTCCTTCATTAACGTCATTTCTTATTTTAGACTGTACTAGCGGACATCTCAACACTGAACGCCATTGCTCTCCTTCAGTATGTTCTGTTTCTAAAGCAATACGATACTTCGTTTGTTCATCATGGATTTAAGACAACTACATGACAATCACCGATATCTGATGTGATGAAATAAACGTGCTGATCCCCGGGCAATACCGGAGGAATTTGCATTTTAGCAATGGCCGGCAAATCCAAGAAGTATTTACCAGCCCTTAGAGGAAAAAAAAATACTTGAACTCACTAATGACGGATTCACTGTTCCATATACCAACTGAATTTTATAGTTTAGGACTTGCTCCCAAAAACGCATTCAAATATTGATATTTGTGCATGTAATAATTTCCATTTTCAATTAAGTGGAAAATTTTAGAATGACGCTATTTCAAAAGAATGAAAGCCATGGTAACTGCAGAAAGAAATCTCAGAAAGTATAAATCAATTCTGCGTGTCGTAGAAATCAAGTTACATGTCGCGTATAGACAAACTCACTTGAGAACAAAAGAAAGCACGAAAAAAACTTTCAACGCACGAAAAAAACTTCCCACATTTGATTTCACACAGGACTTTGAGCCTTCTCAGTGAAAATCGAGCTTAGCCTCAATTTTGAGAAAAATGCAAATTTGTAGGGCTATTGTAATGACTTTTGGAAGGTCTCAACTAAAGCAGCGATCGCTCGCTTTGAACGGGAAAAATAGGCGTATGACGTATCGTGTACCCTGGAGGCATTTGTCGATTGTAAATATTAAAATAATATTCAATTTTATCAATGTGAAGAAAGATTTTTCATTTAGATGTTTAAAGGAATTACTTAGATCGATGAGAACTTACTGGCTGCCAAAGGCACTCATTAGATTGAGTTAACATGAGTTAAGAAAAGGTTGTTGTTTTGCAATGAATTTTATCCTTCCTTATAGAGTCACCGTTGCGTGAAATTGGATAATTCATTTTTAGTCATCAATACTTATTAGTTTATCATTTTTAATTCCTTGTGTGTGTTTTTTTATATATATATTAGAAATTTTAGAATTCTGGCATTTATAGCTTTTTATTTATGGACATTCTTAAGTTCTGTCACTGTGCAGTGAACAGGGACATTGCGGAAATTCAATGCTATTATTAACATTCTAATAAGTTAAAACGGAAAAACAACAATCTAAAGAATCAGTCTTGAGATGTCAATATAAATTCACTCAAATGTGAACAGTAATAGGTCTGCTTATCTGTGATTGGATGAAAATAATGTATTAATAGTTACAAGTGTGATGTAGAGGTTCATACAGTCTTGAAGAGTCTGCCTTGTACAAAACATGGAAGCCGGAATTGCTAAAACTGCATTGATTTTACTATCAAAACCTATCAAAAAGAAGATCTTGGAAAACCTGAAAGATGGTGATGTGGCAAGTCAGAGAATTAGAGAAGTATTAATGGACAGCAACTTCAAAATCGAAGCCAAACAAGATGGTCAGAACGAAGCCGACCTCAAAAAAGCCAAGCATCTATTTGAAGAAGGTGTTCAGTTAATCCACGAAGATGAAGGAGACGAAAAACGAATTCTAGATGGTCTCTTAGAAAAGCATCGCTTAAGCAACAAGTCACATCGAGTACTAAGGAATAGTTCAAAAACAGGCTCAAAAACAGGCGTAAGTGCGACCGACGGTGTAAGAATGTCGGGTATAATAAAAGCAAAGGAAAGTTGGAGAAGTAGTAAAAAAAAGCACTTAAAGCCTTCCATAATCATGGCTTGAAACTGTTTCGTCGAATATTAGCAGCAAGGCTCGGAATTATGGCAACAATCCTTGAAGATGTTCAAAACCCGCTTGACCAACTACGATCAAGTATGATATTCTTAAGAGAATTGAATAGCGATCGTCAGGTAATAACAAACGTTGAAGTCCAAATGACCAAAGATTCGGCATTGGATAAGTTAAGACAGATAGCTTATGAAAAAGAAAGAAAGGCGTTGATTCGATCAGTGGCCGATGTTAATAGAATGGTGTGGAATTATGCTCATAATGAATGTGGAAAAGATGATCTAGAATGGCCGTCATTAAAGTTAACAAAAGGTGAAGTACATCCGGTCCTCCATGGCGGCATTCGACAGATTTTCGTTGAGAACCATGAGGGTGCTAACCATGATAGCAAATGCACTGCTGATACCTTTGTTGAATCTCATCTTCAAAGGTATACATGTGCTACAGATGGTCCAATATTTGAATCATCAAGCAGGCAAAGGAGTGATGACAAACCACGACAAGCCTCGGTGTTCATTCTCGATGAGAATGGGAAAGAAACGAAAACCTTTGGAAGAGATGTTTTCACGAATGAATCTATTCTCACTAGCATGGCTGTTAACGACAAGAGCCAACTTCTCATTGTTGATGACCATACTCATCGACTGCATGCATTCAACATGCAAGGAGATCACATCGGGCTATTTTACTGATGAAGTTGTACACAGCCATGCATGAAAAGTAAAATATCGATCTCGACTGTGAGTGCATCGTAATTCAACTGTAATTAAATCAATGGCCAGTAAACATTTACAAAAAAAACATTGCTGATCACTTCTTCCAAAGACTTTCATCCTCTGAAACACAAGGGCTGTTGTACTCTACAAGCTAGTGAGACCTTCAAGTGGACTCGCAGTACCGGATTCAAAATCAGGTTATTTTATATATAAATGATGAGGATAACTGACAAAGCTGAAAAAGGAATGAGAAAGGAATGAGAAAGCTACATGCTTTATCTCAGTTTTTTCTTAAAAAAAAACTATATAAAAGCTTCACAGTTTATTATTTGATCCTTTGTTACTAATAGGTAATGATGGTATCACCAAGGTACAATATCTCTTGTTAGTGTTATAAAATGCACATAATTATCGCGAGAACGGTGATAATAGTAAAATTGCATATATCACAGTGACATCTTTTTTTCTTTATATTTCAAAGTGCAAATGTTGTTTTTAGAAATACACTTCAGACTACTATATTTTACTACTCTTTATTATGTAATTATTCTTTTATAGCACTTAATAGTCACTCCAGTTATAAGCACCATATCTAGGTTTATGTCAAAAATATCAATATTAAGCTAATAACCCAATAGGAGTAATAGGCTTAGCGTCCATCCCGCGGATCGTCCAAATCGTTACCCTTCCCCTAAGGGAAGTAACAATGATGCAAAACGCATTTTTAGGCGGTTGGGACGACCGTTAGGACGGTATCCCATAGGAAATCCTCACTTTTCAATATATGAATATATATCTATATAACACTGATTTAAACATGTTGAAAATGGCAATAAAATATATGCTTAGTTCACGCAAGGAGCAAAAAAATGTTTCAAGTTAAACGTTTTCATAAATAAATCAGTGTTTTATTACCATACAGCTGTTTGTGTCATCCTGCTCGGGAGTGAGTTGTCGCACTAAACAGTTTGTAAAGGTATTTAATCTTACAAACTAGACGCTCTTTGAGCGTGAAGTCGGGCTAGCTATTTTGGAAAATTGAGAAATTACTTGGATTTTCGAATACGTGAAGAGCGAAAGAGTTCAACACGATAAGATAAAATTCGTATCTAAAAAACATGTCATATTCTGACAGTCATATAATTATATATAAAAGTAAATTATGGCGTAGAATACCTTATCTAGTTTGTTTATTCACGCACCGCGATATTCTTTTCTGGTGGCTTGGCGCAACGACATCAAAACACTAGGAATATCGATCCAGGAGTGATATTCTGTCTTTCTCAATTTTCAAAAATAGCTATCCCAACTTCACGCTGTAAAAGCGTGTAGCTCATTCAAAATATGCAAATTTCGTGTGTTTTAAAAAGGTCATATAAACAACAATTTATAATTTAACAATTTTTGATGCAATGTTTAAAGTAAAGAATCCTATTAACCTATACTTATCCCGTTTTTTGTACATAGACCAGCTTATAATATTTAGGGGAATCTCCAAAGGCAACTCTTTCAAATAAATTCAAAATAAATGCTTTAAATGCTCTTAAAACTCATATACTATCATTACACGTACCCTGCTATGCAGGGGGTACGTGTAGTAAAATGCTGACACTTTCTTGTTTTTGTTTTGTTTTTTTTTTGTTTTTTTTTTCACAATGTCGAAAGTTTGGCTTAGGTACATCTTCGTAGCCAATCACATTGTGAATTATATATCCGGTAGCCAATCACATTACGTTGTGTATTCCGAACGCTGTAGCCTGTCGATAATCCCGTTCGCAACATTTCCAACTCGTTCTGCACAATGTTTTGTCCGCCATTTTGATGAATATTGTCTCTACTAACGAATATGGAACAGAACATGAAGGTTTACGACCAAAATCTGGAACTCATTACTTGTCTGGGTGTTTCGGACCAAGGGTATGTTGAATTGTGATGACGAGGAGATCTCACTACAGAGATCAACACGCTTACTACTCGTGAAGCAACGGCAACGATATAGTGATTGGGTTCCAATGATTGAATATCAATACAACTCTTTAGAAAATGCTTATTAATTCCATGGCTATTCAAACATCTGCAATAGATATGTCGAGTTTTAATGTAGATGTGCAAAAATATTGTGTTACTATCATATCAAAAGTTAATAAAGCGTCACGTTGTAACCAAATCATGCCTAGTTATATATCTCCGGGTATATCTGACCTTAAAATTATACTGCAGAATCACAAAGGCAGTTACAGCTGAAATTTTAAGAGCCACCACATATAAGCTTATCGCAAAAATCACATATATCTTTGCAAGGCTCGATGGATCAAATCATTTCTTTATTCTGTATCAGTAAGGTTTTAATAAGGCCTCATTTACTAATGATCTCACAACATCATGCACACGGGTGCACAACAAAGGGTACGTGTCAACCCTGCATACAGGGTCTAGTTACTAATGCAACCGGAGACGAAATGGCGCAATGCATTTGATTATCAGATATCTTGGTGTAAAGTTTCACGTTTTTAATTAAAAAATCACCTCTCAGGTCAAGAAGCATATTTTACAAAGCAAGACTGCGATGAATAACACAGTAAATGGGGAAATATAATTGACAAAACTATTTATTGATACGTAAAATATAGCTATTAGAATAAATAAACTTATCACTGTGAGTCTAGAGCTGATTGTAGAGGTCTGATCCTTCGTCTTGTCGAAGAATTCTTTGGGTTCGCGGAACGACTCGTTTCGAAACTGACGCTCATTGACATCTTTTAGTGTGAGTTTACCGCGAACGGCGTGTGCGTTTGCAAGATGGTTGAGCTGCCGTTGAGCGTCTCAGCATGTACTTTTTTGACATCTTACATGTAATTGCAATAGCTCTCCAAGGAAGAAGGAAGAAACGTCGAGCAAACGTACTATAGCACAAGCACAGCACCATAAGACAAGTAAAGTAAAGCATTATGGATAATATGATTGACCATGTGATCTTGGTATTCCTGTGCTATCCAACCAGGAAATTATGGGTAATTTTAGCTGCCAGGTTACTTTGTAGGTATGCACGTGATTG